TGAGCTGTACTGGTATCTTTTGCGTGGCTGAGTCTAAGGGGGTGGAATACGATTGAACCGATTTGTTTATTGGATGAACCACACAACGTGGACCATTGCCGTCCTAAAGCGAAAAGCACATGAGCATAATCCGTTTCGCTGCCTTGAACCTTGAGATAGTCCCATCATCATACCTTCTTTACCTAGAACGACACTCAGCGAGCGGAACAGCCTGCATCGAAGTCCCAGGAACGCTCCTTTCGATTTCATCTGGATCTTCCCCGACCCTCTTTTCCTTGAACGGCCAGCTGCTGTACTTCTATCGATCCATAGTCAACAACCGAAACGCTCCTCTCCATCTCGTTCTCGTAAAGTGCCACGATCGCAAACATGGCACGAGGCTGTACCCCCGACTATGTCAACGCCGAATGGTCGTTCTACCGTTTCGAGCCTTCCACAGCAGCGGCGGTGTTCTTCTGCGTCGTCTTTGTTCTCACTACTGGTCTTCACATCTTCCAACTCATCAGAACCAAGACATGGTACATGACGGCCTTCGTCATCGGTGGACTGTGTAAGTGCTTTGAAGAGAACATCATGTCCGTCCCTTGCCTATGGCCTGATCATGAGCTTACACCATTCTCCGCACAGGTGAAGTGGTTGGATACGCTGCACGAGCGCAAAACACGACACAAGAGCCCGGATGCTGGACTCTCGGCCCCTACATCATCCAGAATGTTCTTCTCCTCATCGCTCCGGCCCTCATGGCAGCCTCCATCTACATGATCCTAGGTCGCATCATCATGTTGACCGACGGAGAGAGCCATGCCTTGATTAAGAGACGCTTTCTGACCAAGGTCTTCGTTTCTGGAGACGTCCTTTCGCTCCTGATGCAGTCCAGTGGTATGTGCATTTGCTCTTTTTGGACAACCTGTAGTAGTCGGCAATCACTAACGCGCGTGGTATAGGTGGTGGTATGATGGCGTCCGGCGCAAGCATGATGGATATTGGCGAGAAGGTCATCATCGTCGGTCTCTTCATTCAGCTCGCCGTCTTTGGCTTCTTCATCGTCGTGGCCGCCCTCTTCCACCGCAGGATGTTGCTTGTTCCGACCGCAAAGTCTCACCAGCCCGAGATCCGCTGGCGCTACTACCTCCTGACGCTCTACGTCACCAGCGTTCTGATCTGGGTGCGTAGTGTCTTCAGAGTCGTCGAGTACCTGGAGGGCAACAAGGGCCACCTGATGACGAACGAAGCGTACGTCTACGTCTTTGACGCGACGCTCATGTTCCTCGTCATGGTGTGGATGAACTGGTTCCACCCGAGCGAGATCGGTCTCCTGCTTCGCGGCGAGCCACCCATCAAGAACGGACTCGAGCTCGTGATGATGAACAGAAAGTTTGGAAAGATCCAGAACGAGAACAGCAGCATGAGCGCTTAGGGAATCGATCGAGAAGAAGCTCTCAGGACTTGGGGCCGGGTACTTGGTAGGCGCGGGGGAAGGCGCTTGGTTTCAGAGAGCCTTTCAGGATAGACTGCATCTGAACATTCAGTTAGTACTTTTCTGGGATGGCCCAGGCCATGCCCATTGTTTGAAGCATTTCATTTGTTGGGAATAGAGGTTGTTTGGAAAAGGCCGATGGAACTCGCGCGACGGAAGACGCGATCGAGAATGCAGCAGGATGACAGCAGCCATAGATTTGTGGTTAATATCGATTCAAGATGGAGAGCGTGTCTCATTCTTGGGTATAGCGTTGCATGTGAAGATTCAGACATTCCAGAGCCATGATGACGAGGTTGACAAAGTTGATGTTCTGGGTAGGTAGGTAATGCGAAAGGACGCCTAACGCAATGGAAGAAGTCCAGGGGCTCGGGGTGTCTTATCGTTATCAGAGCTCAAGGCTGATAAGATAAGATACGCGAGGCGAACGCACAGGTCAGGGACCTTCCACGGCGGGGCGGACGATCTGCAGGAAGGGCGCCCGGAGCCGAATAAAGGCATGATCGGCGGCATCAACCCCGCATAAGCTTGCTGATACGTTGGAGCTCCAGCGGGCCTCAAGGTGCGGCTGCCGCCTACCTCAGCAATCAACCTCTCCTGACGAGTCACCCAAGGTGCCAGCCTGAGGTAACTACGGAGTAAGGTCATCTTTCTAACCGCTTCATTCCTCTCGCCTGGACGCAGAAACGATTGAGGGCGGTTGTCATCTTACAGCATCAACAGCAGCGCAATAACCATCAACCTGAGGCCCGACGATTGCCTTATCTGCCCTGCCTTTCGCAAGCCGCCGGCATCAGGCTGCACCTACCTGAGGCTCTATCCGACAACCCCATCCGCGTCACCTCCACGTCTCGCATCGTCTCACCGGCATTAGTAACAGTATTCTGCTTCCGTCAACCTCTCTTTTTTACGAACACGACACAGCTTTTATGCATGCGCACTGTCTCAATACTCTTGTCATCAAGTATTAGGTAGTTAAAGTGCCACTTCCCTCAATGTCTCATCTCGCCGTCCTGTTTATCAAATGCTAACATTCTGAAGCACATTTTGTAGCTGACCGATACCATTACTCTCTACGTTCGATTCGCTAGCAAGACAAGCCGATCCTAATACGATCCCGAATACATGATGGCCGGACCCCAAAGCCCAGCCAAGCAGGGGTTGGAAGAGTGGGAGGAGATTGCCGACGACTACTCTGTCGTGTCACTCTCATCCGATGACGAGGACGGTAGTGCCCCTCTCACAACGACGACCACAGCCAACAAGCCATTTTCGACTGTTGGAACGCTAAAGAATGCCGCTGCCGGTCCTTTGGCGACTGAAGACGCGAGCTCCTCTCGCCTGACTTCTGCCAAGCAAGCCTCTAGTTCAACAGCAGCAGCAAGCAGCGATCAGCCACCAAGGCGAGACCTCCTAGATTTACTTGGGAACTCCCTCCTACCCAATGAGGCCATTCAGCCAATCTGGAATTCATACCAGATTAAGCAGCAAACTCCAACGCCGCCACTGAAACTAAGCAACGGCAAGGAAATCGAGGGGTTGAATCGAGATATCGGCCGCCTAACAATGGGCAACGAGGACGCCGACGAGGCTGAGTCATCGAGTAAACCAGAAGGCACCTTGGGCGAAACCCTGGACTTGGACGACTCCTCGGTGAATCCTACCATCATCAGCCAGAAGCTAGAGTCTCTTGGCGAATACCTCCTTGACACATTCAATCGGACCAGCAAGGAGTTGACTGGCTTTGACAAGGCGCCGGCTATCGCCAACAGTTGTCAAGCCCTCATGGCGAACATCAATGATCTTCGTCCCATACTCGCTGATTATGCATCTCAGTGGGACGCGAATGTTGAGAAGGAAATTCCGCTTGATCCCAGTGTCACGCTCTGGATGGATTCTTTGCGTACTGTTCTTGCAAGGCTTCGGAGAAAAGCCAGAGCCTGGCCGCAGCATCCGGCAAGCGAAGAGGCAAGGATCCGTGCGAGCTTGAACAAGTATGCTGCTGCACTGGACAAGCAGGACAAGCAGATGCAAGAGTTTCTGCCCATTATACAAGCGTAAGTCATCGTCTCCCGGCATCGTCGTCCTCGTCACTAACTGTTATCAAGCGACTTCAACACCTACCGGACACAGGATATGCAATTTCCGGTAGAAAACACGGAAGATTCCGCCAACAGCCCTGGACGTTCAGGCCGTATACCGACACGTCCCACGTCTCGTCTTGCCCAAGTTCGAGACGCTCTGTACACACTCAAGGATCAAGTTCAAAATACGATTCATGTCCTCGCTATCAGCCACCACTTCCTTCCCCAGACTGCCTCCGAGACTGCTGTAGCTGTTGTTCAGTGCCTGAGGTCTACTGTCAACGCCGCGTCCCTCGCCCTGACCAACAACGGCTCGGAATGGCTCGAGAGTGACTCTGGTAGAGCTCATATTGGGTTGCTGTCACATGCCGAGTTCAGCAATCTGGACCCCGCGATGCTGCGGGACTACGCAGCGCGACTGAAGCAGATCTGCGACCTCGTATCCGACCCCAATAGTCATCAGCGTTGGACTGAGGAGATGATTAAGGACCATTATATCTACATGTTGGTTGAACAGGAGCAACTTGATGCTCTCCATAACATCGCCTCTGCACTCGAGGAGATGTTGCTACCACAACACATGAAGACCAAGACCGAGTTTGATGATTTCTTGAAGGAGATGTAATGATTTCGCAACAGGAGACAACAGAACCAAATGGACTACAGATTTATGACATGAAACAGCGGGCTGGCATTGGGAACTATGAGCGCAGCTTTGAGCGGGAACGTAATGATTTTCAGGATTGGACGGCGTCATGAGTGACGGGTTTTGATGAATAGCGAACCAAGATGGACACGGAAGCTTCCACATGAACTTGACAGAATGTATTGTTCCTTCAGCCGTATGACTCGATAAAGTCTTGAGTATCAATGGCGCAACTCTCCTGTGTGAAACACAGTTTCTCTCACATATCCATGAAGGCTTTTACCTTATCTTGAAGTACTTGGGATTTACCATATCTCCGGCTTCTGCTTCACGATGGTGGTGATAACGACACCATTTGGACGCGTAGAATAGAGCTACTTGTCTAGGTCACCTCTTACCGTCGATCATTGGGAATGGTCCAAAACTTATTGTCATGTAGCTTATCATCATTAAAAAAACGCTGGTGTTTCAACGTTTGAATAGAGAAGCCCTGTACAGGTTCACTGTCAAGCTTAAAGGGCTTAGAGCAGCACGTGGGGCGGTTATTTTGGTCATTTTCCCCAGACGCCGATTCCGCACGAGCCGCCTTCCAGAAAAGGACCCCTAAAACTGCATCTTCCTTAACCCTTGTTCTTTAGTGGGCCTAAACTGGAATAATCAGGCCATTTTCCAAAAAGTTTGCCCGCAGAATCTGTCTTTTTACAACTCTCAAAAGGGAAGGATTCTGGTAGAAATTTCATTTTCTTCGGTTTTGTTTTGATCAAGTCCAGTCAGCCCCGTCAAATTAGTCGCCATGCCTCCGAAAAAGATTGAAGTTGTCAAGGACAATGTCGTGGCGTTTGGCAGGGTCAGCAAGAACCTCAAGATGGGGTGCGTCGGCCTGCCCAACGTGGGCAAGTCGAGTCTGTTCAACCTCTTGACCGAGCAGAGCGCCGCTGCGGAGAATTACCCCTTTTGTACGATTGAGCCCAACGAGGCGAGATGTGCTGTTCCTGACGCTCGATATGTAAGTTGAGAGTCGAGATACGAAAAGATTGCCTATTAAAAAGGGTCACCTACCTTAATTGAATATGTGGCTGAAACGTGGGCATTGTGTGTGTAGGACTTTTTGTGTGACCTCTGGAAGCCGCCTTCCATGTACCCCGCGTATCTGCAGGTCACCGACATTGCTGGCTTGATCAAGGGTGCTTCGACGGGAGCGGGACTTGGAAATGCTTTCTTGTCTCATATCCAGGCCGTCGATGGCATGTTCCACATTGTCAGGTACTACAACCATCATTTGTGGCTGAAGGACTACGTCTTGATGAGTTGGCGACTGACTTGGGTTGTGTAACAGAGCATTTGACAACGACGAGGTTTTGCACGTGGATGACTCGGTTGATCCCGTCCGTGACTTGGGTTAGTCCATGCAACTCTGGCACGTCTCTCAAGTTGAGGTAACTGACTGGACCGTTATATAGAAACCATTCAAAATGAGCTTTGCAAGAAGGATCTTGGTATGTTTTATTCTGTCAAAATCTGGTTCACTCGGTTTACACCTTTCTCAGACATTCTGGCCAAGACCATCGTCGCCGAGGAGCTGATCGTCAAGAAGGCAGGAGGCAAGTACAAGATGCTGCCCCTCTTCACAGAGACAACGACAAAGATCCAAGCAGTGAGTCCAAACTTTCCAGGCTCAAATCACCAGCCGTCTCGAAGATTTCACCTTCTTACAACCGTAAACCAGATGCTGGAGAAGAACACCCCAGTCCGCGACGGAAGCTGGACCCCCGCCGAAATCGCCCTCATCAACGAAAAGATGTCCCTCATCACCACCAAGCCCGTCATCTACCTCGTCAACCTGACAATGAAGGACTACCTCCGCCAAAAGAGCAAGTACCTCCCGTCCATCGCCAAGTGGGTCACCGAGCACGGCGGCGTCCCGCGCGACATCATCCCCTTCTCCGTCGAGTTCGAGGAGAAGCTGCACAGCTTGAAAGACGACCCGGCCGCGCGGGAGGAGTTCCTCAAGGAGAGCAAGGTCAAGTCCAAGTTGGATAAGATTGTGACGGAAGGGTTCACGAAGCTTGGATTGCAGTATTACTTCACTGGTATGTTTACTCTTTTTGCTGGCCCTGGGTGACCATACTAAACTTTCTATCAGCGGGCGAGAAGGAAATCAGATGTTGGACGATTCCGAGAAATTGCCTTGCTCCGCAAGCTGCCGGCGCCATCCACAGCGACTTTGAGAGGGGCTTCATCAAGGCTGAAGTCGTTGCCTACCAAGACTTCCACGACCTATGCGAGGGCGGCAAGTCCATGGGTCCCATCAAGGCTGCTGGCAAGTACCGCCAGGAAGGAAAGTCATATGTGAGTTATACCTGATTTACTTCCCAAAAGGCTGGCACACACTGACGCTCTTTTCTTTGCTTATAGGTTGTTCAAGATGGTGATATTATTCATTTCCAATTCAGTAAGTTGAAAACTGGTCAAAGTACGGTTAGTGATGATCTGAAGAGTGCTGACTATGTGTCTTTTTAGACGTTGGAAACAAAAAATAGAGTTTCTTCCTTGAAGTTCGTGGGCAATAGTTTAGGTAAACGGGTTCGGATACTAGTTGGTTACTCTCTCAGCTTAACATGTTCCTATAGACTTTGGAGATACCATTGCAACTGTCCATTCGATGTCCCTGTATCTCTTAGGTTACCATAATCCTGAGATTGACCTGTCTATGTGAAGTACTCTCGCGCGCCAATTTAATCCTGGCCGCCTTAGCGGTCTATGACCTTTGCTCCCTCTCATATGATACGAGATTGGTCCCTTCCTAGCATTCTAGGCACTGGTGAAAGCAGAATCCGAGCTATGGACAAGGTTGTGTTCACAAAATGAGATACGTATGTTGAACGAAACATCACGGCGTCGTGGCAAGGTGAGTCACATTGATCAGAAAGAGAATCCTTGTATTGTTACCATCGACCTTCCAGATCTACAATGACCTGTCGGTCTGAGCATAGAAGCGATCGAGGTGCATTTTCCGAATTCAAGCGTCTTCTCCTTAGAACTTGAGACCGGCCTCGGCCTTCTGGAGACCGAACTATGGGATCATTAGCTAGTGAACACAAAAAGTGCGACGCATTTGTTTGACACGTACCTTCTTGAGGCGAATGGCGTTGATGGTGATGAAGCCAGACTGTCACATCTCGTTAGTATACAAGTTTCTTCGATCGATTCTGAGGATGGCCTTCTTACAGTCTCGGAGGGGTCGAAGGTGGTGAGAGAGTCCATGGAAGCATCCTCCTCGGAGTAGAGCTTCTCGTCGGACTTGCGACCCAGGCAGTAAGCGTTGCCCTTGTACAGGCGGAGGCGGACCTCGCCGTTGACCTAGAAAGATCACTGTCAGCTACCACACAATCACCTTAAGAGGATTGAATTCTCCGTACACGCTGCTGGGAGTGGTCCAGGGACGCTGTCGACGCGGTTAGCTTTCGGCTGTTCTCATCAATTGTGGGTAGTCTTGGACTTACGCTGCAAGAACTCGCGCTCAGGGCTGAAGTAGGAGCCGTTGTACAGGCACTCCGACCATTGCTTGGAAAGCAAGTCGCGGTAGGCGCGAACTTTACCATCCAGGACGAGACCCTCGAGGGAAATGTGAGCCAGACGAAGGATAGTCATGGCGGGGGAGTCGTAGCAGCCACGGCTCTTCAGGCCGATCATGCTGATGTCCAAGTCAGTTTGAGTTTCATCATCAAGGAGAGCAGTTTTCTGTACCGGTTCTCGACGATATCCTACGTCTAGTGTTAGTTCACACATTCTTCAAGCAGCATGGTAAAGTTTGAGGAGTGAAAAATACTCACAATGCGGCCGACGGCGTGCTCCTTGCCAATGGCGTTGAGCAGGGCGAAGAGCTCGACATCGTCGGTGGCAGTCTGCTGAGGAGTGACAACCTTGACGGGAATACCCTTGTCAAAGTGAATGGTGATGTCGAGGGGGGTATCGGGAGCCTTCAGGGGGGAGACAGTCTTGGTCCACATGTCCTCGGGAGGGGTGACATCGGGGTCCTCGAGCATGCCAGCCTCGTACGAGCAGTGGGCTTTTCATGTCAGCAGAAGTACTTTTTTCTTCCGAGATGGGGTGAAATACCGAAGTTGTCATCCTATGTCTCGTCAGCATATGGCCGTAAGTTCTGGGGGTTGGTGAAGGGGGATTTCTTACCATAGAGTAGGGCTTAGCCTTGGTGCTGGTGACGGGGATGCCTGAACAATGTTTTAGTCAACAATCAACAAGATGAGCAAAGCTAGCTTACCCTTCTCGGCCGCGTAGTCAAGGAGGTCGTTGCGTCCCTGTAGCGCAAAGACGTCAGCGGCGATACTCGCAACACAATACGAGTTCAGCTAGAATAGCGGCACCAAAGACTTACCTGGAAGCGGTTGAAGAAGGTAGGGTCTGGCCAAGTTCGTTAGTCAGGAAAAGGTTACTACATAGACATTGGTTTACGTACCACGCCACGGGGCAATGACCTTGATCTCGGGGTTGATTGTGTAGAAAGCAAGCTCTGTTTCCCGTTAGTATTGAAGGGTCAAATGTCGATGAACAGGCCAGCAGTCTTACCGAAACGAACTTGGTCGTTACTGTTCAAGAATGTCAGCAGTCAGGCTCACGCGAGACACGTGCTTCCAAAAGCGTTCGATCACTTACCCCTTGCCGGTCTGCAAGCAGAGTTAGCCAAGAGTGAAGAGTAGTTGGATTTGTCCATTACTTACGCAGCCGTGGGAAACAAATTGGCAGCTTGCGATACCATGTCAGTTCAATCCTCCCAAATGGGATGTCCAGTTCAGCTCACCCAGTGGCGGCGGCAGCCTTCATCTGACCCCGGGCAATGATGGGGCGGGCCAGACTGGTACCTGCGGAGGAGATGAGCATTTGAATGTCTTCGGTCGCTGAATAAGCTTACCAAGAAGGTACTGGTCCTCGTAGATGGCGTTCTACAATGGGCAGGTGGTCGTGAGCCAATTGGCATAGTTGAAGCTGTACATCCGGTTTTACTTACGCACTGAACAGCCTTCCAGCAGATCCTGACATGATGTTAGCCGTGTAGCATTCACATGGATTCCATGATTACTCACTCCTCAACGAACTCGCGCTTGAGATCGTCAATGATCATCTAGGATAGCTTGTTAGTGACGGTCTTCAGGATGCGTGGTGGCAGCTTGTAAATATAATATTCACATACCTTCTCAGCACCGATCTGAAGAGCTGTTTGTTTGACAGCATTAGCTCACTGGATCGAATGGTTCCATGCCTAGATATATCGATGGGAGCGGGGGTTTGCAACGAACCCTTCTGCTCAACAGCAGCCCAGTCTAGTATTCGGTTAGCTTTGGCGTAGAAATACAGAGCACATGGCTACTCACCCTCTTCCTGTCCAACATTGGCGAGGTAGCAGCTGTTTCCATGTTAGACTGGCAGTCATTCAAACTGACGCCTGCCATTACAGACGGCCGAGAAGCACATACACAACGGAGTATCTGAATACCAAGTTAGCTTTGACTTGCCAAACGTCCGTCTTAGGTCAATGACTTACCCCTGCTCCAAGAGCCAGGCCAGAATAGTGCTGGTATCAAGACCACCTGAGTAGCTATAAAGTATTGATTAGCATCAATCTCCATTATTGTTCCTTCCTCCATGCCACTATATCTCTAAGAATAGCTTCGCAGTAATATTCCAGCCATCATGTGGCTGAAGATCATTGTGGCTCAATGAGGCACGTGATAGCCAAAAACCTTGTCCGGCAGAACTTCGCTCCACAAAACTTTTGGGACCGATTTTCGCAGGGCCAGGCGCGCGGCCCTTGAAATTGGAGGAAGGAGGGGCAGAACACTTACGCCAAGCAGACCTTTCCCTTCTCGCCGGCCATTTTGTCAATGATGTTGTAGGGGGTTTGGGGGGAATCAATTGAGGTTTTGCGGAACAGAGGAAGTTTGCGTCGAAGCAATTGACCGGATGAAGAGCTGGAAAGATTGTTGTTGGTACTTCTGAGAAAAAAAAGTAAAAGAGGTGAGTGACGGCATGGGCCAATTAATTCTGTGTGAGTCAATGGGAGGTGGGATGGGCAGCGCTGTTTGGCGGGGGGGAGAATTAGCGGCGCTAAGTTTTTCCTGGGTATCTTATCTGTGGAGTCACAGGTTCTCGGTCCCCGTCCCGATGTCGGGTCACGCTTCCAGCTGTGACCACACTCCAGTTGTCAACGCCCTTTAGGTCTGGTCAGCATGTGGAGCCCCGGAATGAGATCCACTCGTCGGCACAGGATAAACCCATCGGGCATTTCGAGATACCAGGGCAGGCCTGCGTGCAGCTCATCTGCTCCGACTTCTTGACGTGTGTGAGCGTGGGGCGGTGAGCGATGCGGCCGCACTAGCAGCTGATTGTTGAGAGCACACTTTGGGCCTCGTCGGTCACGCCGTTCCTGAGTGTCTGCCCTGCTCAATTTGACTGCCGCAAGGCCATCCGTGGCTCAAGCATAAGTTCTGGCCCTGTCGTGAAAGAATGGCTTACAACATCATCAATGGTCTGCTTTTGAACAGGTAGAATGTGGTCAGCATTGTTGCGGCCCCCCCCCCCCCCCCCCCCCCCCCCCCCGTCCCATCCGTGGCCAAAAAAAAGTTCTTGCCCTCTGGGAAAAAAAAGGGTTCAAAAAATCCACTGGTTTTCTTTTTTAAACGGGTAAAAGGGGTGCCGCTTTTGTCCCCCCCCCCCCCCCCCCCCGCGATTATCTTCATTGTTGAGAGCTGGCGACAGTGGCGATGCCTAGGATCTCGAAGAAGACGAAGACGTAATCAGGCAGACTTGGAGTCGCCTACCGCTGCCGCTATAGCGCGGAATCGTGGCAACGCTGAGAACATTCGGGGTCGGACCTAGATGTGAAGTTGCACGGCACTTGTGTGGGAGTTCGATGGCACCCGGATCGTAGCTGCTCAGTCCCCAGCAGTATAGTCGGGGTTGCCCATGCCAATATCTTCCTTCTACCACTTCGAGACAATGACTCCGAGGAGTCCCTGAGAGCAGCTTTCCAAATGAGCTAGCTAAAAGCACTAATGCCACATATGTCACTCAGCAGCGATGTTCTTGAGATCAGACCACAGGAGAAGCTCTGATGGCGAGAATGGGCATAACAAGAACAGCTGCTAGGCTATCAGTGAACAAACCGGATTGAGTTGTTTGTAGTAACATAGAAGTCAATCAGAGCTAATAGTCCCATGGATGGTTTCAATTTGGTCACGGGTAAGAAAGTATGCGGCTCGTTACATGGCCGCCGCACGCCGAAGCACATTCGTCAGTCAGGGTTCTGTCATCGGCCGTACTTCTCTTGAAGCCCAACTAAGGAAGGCTGGCAAAAATCATGAGATATAGCAGTCCGCTCATTTGGATAGAGTGAGACTCGAAAGGTTGAATCATCATCCAACATGTGTGGATAACTTCATAGTATTGCCGATACATTTGCAAGTAATTCACTTATTACGTAGAATTATGAGGCATCCTTGAACTTTGGAACCTCCAGCATGGACTGAAGACAATGGATCTTGTACTTTCAATAGGTCTTCGAGACCTGGAGCTTGACACCGGCCTCTACAGTTCGTCGACTAGTAAATTACGACAGGATTCGATAAATCGTATAGGTTTCTATCCAAATACGGTAGGGTTTACCAACCAAACTTCAAGAATAACTCACCTGAATCACTGAGTCAGTTCCAATGCCCCTAGAGGTTCAAATCATCAACCACCATTCAATCCGTATATGATTCCCATCTCCCAATAGGTAGTCTTCCGAAGTGCATTCCAGAGTCCTTGGCATGAACGTGTAGCAGTCACGCAGCTTTGAACGACTATCCATACTCCCATCTTTCAACATGTCGAACAACATTATCTACTTCCCAAGATTTCCTGGTTTCCTTGCTCACTTGAAGTCATCTGATACTCGTAACCGCCTACTGGCTTCTTGCATTACCACATAGCACAACCTTGGTACAACTAAGCTGCAAGTCAAAGACTCTCAGACTTGTAGGTGCGTACCAGGTTCGTGTTCGCCCTCGAGGCACATAGTTCGGATACCTTCAGATGTAGAGTAACTAGAGTTGGGCATACCAGTTAACTTTCTCATCCGTTCACATTAACCAGACCCTTGAGAATTGCTTATTAGATCATTTCCCCTCCTGACCTAAATAGTCACTTACACAAAAAACACATTCCAACGGCGTACAGATTCGGAAAGAAAATAAGCTTTTAGAATACCGAAAATGTGAATTGAAATGTGTTCTCGATCACAGCAAGACGGTATGTTCAATATAGGGAAATACATTAATTTCATACCGCAAAACCCTTCGATGGGACGATTCAATGACCCAGCCTTCTGACGTTCGCCTTTCTCAGATATGATGTACTCAGATTGATGTCATTCAAAGACCACGGAGATCAACCCGATCAATCATATCGATAGACCAAATCAAAGTCCTCATAAGTGGAAAACACCAACATTTCGAATTAATAATCTCCGTAACCCCCCCCCCCCCCCCCCCCCCCCCCCCCACCCCCCCCCCAAACACACACCCCCCCCCCCCCCCCCCCCCCCCCCCCCCCCCCCCCACCCCACCCCACCCCGCCCTCCCCCCCCCCCCCCCCCCCCCCCCCCCCCCACAACGCACCCCTCTATCCCTCCCCCCCCCCCCCCCCCCCCCATGACTCTTGACACCTCCTGAACAAACATCACAATTCCGCCCCGGTCCCCCCCGCCCCCGCAACCTCTAGTCCACCCAAAATGGCGATTCCAGCAGCCGATCTACACCCCTCCGCCAAAGGCAGATCTTTTCTCTTTTCCTCAGCGGTTGCACTTTACTCGTGACCCGGAAGGGCGTCACGGATGGGCAGTACACAGTACCCAAAGTCCACGCTGGTCAATGCGGTGACCAGCTCCAGAGGGACATTGATGGCCGTACTCGCGCACATCACCCCTCCTCACTCGTGCTTCACGCCCCGCGGCGGGCTTGCCTGATACCCTCTTGCTCGCTCGGAACTCATTCACTCTGCCGATACCACCAGGATGAGGGCTGGCACTCACTCCGAGATCCAGATATACCTGCGCCCACCAGTCTGGCGCTGAGTGCGGGCGCGCGTCGGCGGCACAGCACGAAGAGAAAAGGGCATGATTCCCCCCTGTGACTTCACCATGCCATCATCGAACCCTCCCTACTTTGTCACCAAATTTGAAGACGTGTTCATATCATGAAGGCGAATGAAAGAAAAAATGCGCTCAATGGTTGATAGTGATTGTGAACCGCATAATGCGAAGTTGAAGTCTATATTCGTCCACGGCCACCCGGGCGTCTTGCCCCATTGCACAGCATTTTGCGTGTGCAAAGGTTCCGCGATGCCTTGCAATTACATGCCTTAGATATCAAGGTGGTCCACGACTCAGGCCGTGCTTCAGCCACTCACCACAGAGCGACAAGAAGATGTAACGAGAGGGCCGTACCCGCCTGCCGTGAAGTACTCCGGCAGCTGGGACGAATATGCACTCAAGCTGTGCGCCCCTGGCTGCTGATCAGCATTGTCAGGCAGCGGCATGGGGCAGCGCCTCCTGTGATCTGAAGCGTAGGCCCTCGAAGCTTTCCAATCGCATGAAAAGTCTAGGATATTGCAGTGCCTTCCTTGACTTCAAGTCCTGTTTAAAGGTAGTCCGCGATTTTCAGCCCAACCACCAGAGCCTAAACTGTGGATCTCTGAGCCTGTGTAAGTTGGAGCCCAACCGGTGGATGAATGCGAGTAGGTAGAGCCTGCGCATTGTAATATCAAATTGAACATTCAAATGACATGGCGTCTAACTTCAAGTCGATCTTCAGACTATGATCCTTCAAGGCCTCGAAGCAGCAGATGAAACTTGAGTATCTTTGTTGCAGATATCGAGCCAGATTATGGATGCTACGTCCAGGCCCGTATCAGGAACCCGTTGGTCAGGAAACCCCAATGCTGATCTAAAGATCCTAGCAAGGTGCATTTTCCGGGGTGAGAAACAAGATGGCCCAGCCCGCCCTGACTATAATGACTTCATAGTGGACATTGCAGCCTCGGAATTTGTGGAAACTCACTTGTCTGCAGTGTTGTTCCAAAAGGTGCCGGGGCAAACGGTCCTATGGCTGAAGAGTTCTGCAACCCGCCGCAAATGGGTTCGGAGAGACTGCCGCAAAGGATGGTCTCGCGACGTCAGGATATACGTTGCCGCGGCTCAAGGAGGCAAGCGCCCGACTGGCTCGTCAACGTTGTGATTAAACGTCCACACTATTGTCGTGTTGCCATCCAAACGGTCGACTCAGGAGATGGTTCAAGGCCGTTTATTTCGAGACGCCGGTGGCCAATGGCGATGGAGTGATGATGTGACGTGCCACGTGCCCGATTGCAGCATTGTGCAGTCCGTCCTGCGGTCGCTATTCTGCCACAGGCGTGGGGGCAAAAGGCATGACGTCAAAGGGGTGTTTCGCATCACTTTGGAGGTTTGGAGCGAGGCACATGAACGCAGCTGTATTGTCTCTTCGTAATTTCAACGCGCGTTTACAACGTCCAACCTGCAGAGTTAGCAACAAGTAGGCTGCGCCAAGGGGTATGCCTGTCCATGCGTCATGACGATCATCTCGGGACGGCGTTGGGCGCGCCGGGATGGTGAGCCCCATCTCGCTCTGATGATCGTGAATGCAGCATGTTCCACCAGCGACAGTCTCAAGGAGCAGGGCGGACCATGTAGCCGATTTGGGTTGTCTGAGTTTGACTTTGTAAGTCGCGTCAAGCGAGCTGAATAACAGGCGCGTCGTTGTTCTCATCATATCTCGAGCCTTGAATACTCGGCATTAGGTTTGTATTAGGAACCCCCGTGGACTGCAATGTTGATCCCTTGGAACGCTCACTCTTCTATGATGTTTGCGCGTAGCTGTTACCTAAGCCAAAGCTGATGAGAAGCCACGTCCGACGACGAGGATTCGCCGAGACTTGTTGCTATCGAGTTAAGTTGTTGGGCCCATTGAATCCAATGCTGGCTTACCCGTCGCGAGATGTGTCGCAGTGTAAACTGACCTCTGTTTGCCATACTCCCGAGGTATGTGTGGCTGAGAAAGCACAGCAGTTCGACTGGGATGGGACGAGATGTGGCTGGTACTGCAGGAAAGGGCTAGGAATCTAATTCGGCCAAAGCCGCGCCAAACGTGGAGAGGTAAAATGTATGAATGACGACAGAATATGGCTCGTGCAGAGAAGTGGTCTGGACCAGTCCATTCGGCGCTCTGGCTTCAGGCCTTCTTGTTCTCGCCGTTTGCGGGTTTGTGATGCCACAAGCGCAATGAAGATATCTTTGGCTAGAGCGTCGAGTTTAGGATTAGTGAGATAACCTAACAAGTCTGTCAGGCTAGCTGAGGAGAAGCACGAGCTTTCCAGTGTCAAGTACGAGAGCTGAACGAGGTGTTGATGATGCCATACTCCCATCTGCCCTGCCTATGGTTGACCAATGAGTGCCAACACCGTCAGGGAAGCAGTTGAGCCTCAGTCTGAACATAGCAGACAGCTTATCACGATTCGTCGATAGCGAGCCATGTTGTCATATCACTGCTCGCACATGAGGCAGGCAGGTACCGGTAGGTATCTTGATTATCCTCATAGAAATGGGGCGGTACACACCGAGCTCGCGACTGAGACTCCCGCGTCGCGTGGATGACGGACGGGAGGCCGGGTGGTGTATCTGACTAGCCGATTTCCCGCATATCAATGAGAAATGGGTTGCCATAATCCCTAGGTACCTAGTTAGAGGAGGTAGGCTCAGTGACTGCGTAAGGAAAAGCGTCGTCAGTGAAATGACAGTGGCGTGTGTGGCTTGCGCATCGTCGCCCATCCTCATCTCGGAGGCATATGGTTACCTAGTCGCGGGGTGACTCGGTGTGTGGATCCAGCGTGATATATGATTGGCTCAATCGGTAAACAGAACGGGCAATGCAAGCGGTACGGTGCGACAGTGACCCAGTGATGCGGGAAGATGCGAAGCGGAGACGAGACCAAGTAGCCTCAAATGGAGAATTGGCTGGAATCTAAGACAGGCTGGCGGTGTATCAGCGAGCAAATTCGACTACATGAATGGTGGAGGAGGAAGAGAGAGAAAAGTAGCGGCGGACCCCTGCAAAAGACATTGATGGTTGACGATGGTGACGATAATTTGGGAGTGAGCTTTTGGTGTTGCAGGTCAGACTGAGCGAGTGAGTAAGTAAGGTACTCTCCATGCTGAACGCTGGAGGGAGTACCCCCGGAGAGGAATGAATCATGGGCCCTGACTGCCCATGCCTTAATCTGGCCGGTGGCCTCAGGCAAAATGGCCGAATCCATATTTACCCCCCAATGATGCATCAGGGCGTCTGGTCCCAAAGATGCTATCCCTGCCAGAAGCGGGTATGACGATGAGGCAGACGTCATAATGGGGGCCCCACGCCATCCAAGCGAGTGGAACAGGCTCCGATCCTGGATGGGCACCATGGGACGGGTTGGATCACAGCCATGGGTTCAAGGTTGACCACGCCAACCGGGCCCTGCTTCTGGAGTCCTGGCACCTGGTTCTTCTGCGCCTGGGACTGGCAAGCCTGGCGTGTCGTGCGTGTCTGGCTGCAACCGGGTGCCCAAATCATGGAATTGGGAAACGTGGCGGCGGGAGGGCAGACGGGAAAATGTGAGTTTTGCATCTTGGATTCGCGCCCTCGTCTGACCCCAGCCCTTGTTCGGCCGGGGGCCATGGTGTATGATTGACCCAGATAGAGATGGGGGCAGCAGTGAGCTGTCGGATGTTTGTAGATGGTATTGCCAACTTTGAGAGTTCTTGAATGATGGATACCGGCTGATTGCCGTGATTGTGTCCGTATGTGTCTCTGAGTGACTGTCAATTCTGCCAGTATATACACAGTGCCATGTCATGCATCATCCCAACTTAACGTCGCAAGTGGCCGACTCTAGCGTGTCCAGCGCCCCTGAACTCTGGTTCCTTGGCGCCGACGTAGCGTCGTTCGTGGTCGAGACACAGTTGGAGTCTGTTTGTCGAACTGTGTGTCTCTGTGTGCCGATTCTTGTCTTCAGTGCTGTGTCATCACTCGCCTGAACCTTGCCATCATAGAGAACATGGCTCAGCGTAGCAAATGTGCTGATTGTACTGTATATACCTAGTGAATCCCGCGGACAATCGACGAAAGAATCGGTGGGAGGCTTCTTGATGCCCCTTGCTGGGCACTTGCCATTCCCCTGTCCCATCTGAATCGCAATCTTGGATCTGGCGCTCCGTACATGGCGAATGGGTCCGGGGTTGGGATGGTGAGAGGGACGTTTTGAAACGAGTCGATTGGTTTGACTGCAAACATCATGAGAGTTGAGCTGAGAAGCTTAGATAAGATGTCTCCTCCTCCCAGTCGACGGCAGGCAGGAAGCAAGGAAGATGATGGATGGAACACCTCTGGAATGATTAGAAATCCCCGGGTACCTCCAGTGTACATGAGGTATCGGCGAAATCGACGCCGGCAGCAACGGAGAGCGCGTTGAGGAAAGTGTCTTTCATGATGCTGGCCGGAAAGGGAGAGAAGCCAAAGTAGCTCCTTCCCCCGTAGGAGGCGCTCTGCCTGGCCTTCGTCGAGCATGGCAGGAATCCAGGACGTATCGAGGCGCCTTCCCCAAGCCATGCACGGTTACCTCAAGGCGCGTACGGAGTATACCTTTCGGTCTCAGGTACCTCCAGGTAAGGTACATCTACACTGGCCAAGTACCAGGAAGCACCCCGCCTTGGCTCCTGCTGCTTTTTCTTCTTCTTTTCTTTGACGAGCAAAACACCACACAAAACAATCTCGCCGAGGAGAGAATATCTGGGAAGGAAGCAAATGACTACCTTGCTTAGATACTTGTTTCATTGCGCTTTCCCAACCATATATCCATCACATCTGTCTATCTGTGTATTCTGTGCATTCAATCATCGTCCAGACGAAAGGTAAACTGACTGCAACGGGGAGACACATGATGAGGGAAGCACGAGAAGAGGAAAAAAGAAGCACCTCCACGGGTGCCGTTGATGACTGATGCTCTTACCTTTTCTTTCCCTCAGCCTCTCACCTGACAAACCTCGGGTCGCTCTTCCTCTTGCACCTCCCGTCGCTACACTGATTCACGCTCGGCTGGTTCACCGAGGGTTCCAAAATAAAAGTAAGGCCCATCGACCTTTTACATCATCATCATCATCATCATCACCTTGCGCATCTATAGCTCCGACCGCAGCCTGTCTTTGCACACTGTCCAACTTGCGCGACCTTTCACACGCCCTCACTCCCGGCCTCTCACACACCTCGCTGGGCGAACAGCTACCTCATCTGACACTTGTCCACCAAACCTCTGTCATCATCATCGCTCAAATCCAGTCAACCGGGCCAGTCTACTGTCCAGTACGGTAGTCAGCCCGTCTCTGCGTGCCACTTCCGAAGACCAGGACGGAGCAACGCACACTCCCCCCTCTGCACTCTAGTGTCCTCGCCCACCCCAGAAATTCCAAGTCTTTGACTTCTCCCAACTTGTCGCACGGTACGTGCCGCAAAGTACCTCTACCCTGTTCGCACACCACACTACCTTACGAAGGAGGTACCTTGCCTACCTACAGCGACTACTGGCAGAACACGCCGTCATCGTCTACCATTCTTCTTCGCCTGGCCCTGTCAACCTGAACCCAACCAACACCCCTCCCCGGCTCCAAATCCATACCTATTTCCCTCTTTCTACCTTGCTTTGGTGCGGCCCCTAGCGCCGTCTGCCCTTTTTCGCCCTTCCCTTTCGCTTGGTCCCCCGGCCTCTTCTAACCAAGACAAACGTGCTGCTGCTGCTGCCCGTCTTCCCGCCCGATCTCCAGCTGCCTGCTCCTCCAACTTCCGTCATCCGAGTCCACGTTGCCCCTCCGCCAACATCACCAACGCTCGCCGCAGTCCACAAATTCCTCTTCCTCGCAACAATTTCTCCCTTTCAGCCGCTGATTCCCCCTTCCCCCATTCACAAAGAAACAACCTTGCACCCGCTTCTGTCGACTCCGACATTTCCTCACTTCTCTCTTCTCGTGATACAACAATCCATTCCAACTTTGCCCAGGATTCAAAGTACCGCATCGCCCACCGAGCATATTCCCACGACTCGTGCTTTGCCGTCTCCGCATTACCAATCACACTCAAACATCGAACGTCCCCTCAACACGGGGCAGGTCGACCGATTCAGCCGCCGATTACTGCGACGTGTGCTGCGTAAACCTAACTTTGCGAATAACCTCACATAACGTCGTCCTCCGTAGCGGCCCAATCTAGCATCATGTCGACGATACAGCAGCTTAAGAACTTTATCCGACACGGTATGATGTCCCCTCTCTTCCCTTGCCTCGTCGGCGCACTGGGTTCTTTCACGATTCGAGCTGTTTGCTCATGTCGTGCCCCGATTCTCCTTGGCGACTTGAACGCTCTCGTTGGCTACCAATTTGCTGACGCTATATATGTGTAGGAAAGCAAGCTCGAGCGAACAACGATGAGCCGGCAGCCAAGCAGTCCCCGCCGCCTAAGGCGCATGTAGGCGTATCAGAGCCTGCGTATGCCGCCGCACCACCTGCTCAGGCGATTCCCGAGGCGTACTCAGTTGCTGGCGATGGCCAGAACCGCGTCGCTCAGGCAAACCACGCAGCCGCCCACGCCGCCGAGCCGAACCAGTACAAGACGTCCAAGGCCGGCAAGAACATCGATAACACACACTTGGCCAAGCTTGTGGCCGAGGAGAACGAGAGCAGGAGTAAATTCCCGAGATATCCCGGCTTGGAGAGATGGGAATTGGTCGAAAAGATGGGCGACGGTGCCTTCAGCAACGTCTACCGCGCGCGCGATACTACTGGCGAGCACCCCGGCGAGTGTGCCATCAAGGTCGTTCGCAAGTATGAAATGAACAGTATGCAGGTGAGTTATTGCTTGGGTGGTTACGGCCGCGACCATGATTTTCTCGCTTTTTGTTCGCTGCGTTGTTGTTTTTGATTTGAGCCTTTTGGAGCATTCCCATACCAACCGAGGGTCGTGATTAGGGAAACAAGCATTTACATCCGGACTTAAAGAAGGTCCCCAAGGCTGCAGAGGTGCGAAAACTTTCTATATTTCATTTGTCTACTATTCGGGCCATTCTCACTTTTCGACACTTTCATGTTGTTCTACAGTCACTGTTATTTCGAGGATGGCCTTCCATTTGCTTGACGGACACGTTTGCTGACCTCAGCGTAGAGAGCAAACATCTTGAAAGAGGTCCAAATCATGCGACAGCTTGATCACCCGAACATCATCAAGTTGATTGATTTTTCCGAATCCCGGCAATATTACTACATCATTTTGGAGTTGGCGCCTGGTGGCGAGCTTTTCCACCAGATTGTTCGCCTCACGTACTTCAGCGAGGAACTTTCGAGGCACGTCATTGTGCAGGTTGCGCAGGCTTTGGAGTACTTGCACGAGGAGAGGGGCGTAGTTCATCGGTAAGTACGACACAGTTTGCTTGTCACCAGCCCACACCGATGAGATCGAGGCAGTGAGTGGTGGGAGCGCCGACTATGCATCGTTCCGTGACGTCATTCGGTCGTTCAGTTGACTAACGTGCAATGTCCCAGTGATATCAAGCCTGAAAACATCCTCTTCAGCCCGATCCCGGTCATTCCGTCCAAGAACCCCAAGCCTAAGCAGCCTGGCGATGAAGACAAGGTTGATGAGGGCGACTTCATCCCAGGCGTTGGTGCGGGTGGCATTGGCCAAATCAAGATCGCCGATTTTGGCCTGTCCAAGATCGTGTGGGATAACCAAACCATGACGCCCTGCGGCACTGTCGGATACACAGCTCCCGAAATTGTCAAGGATGAGCGCTACTCGAAGTCGGTCGACATGTGGGCATTGGGTTGTGTCCTCTACACGCTGCTTTGCGGTTTTCCTCCTTTCTACGACGAAAGCATCGAGGTGTTGACGGAGAAGGTTGCCAAGGGCCAGTACACTTTCTTGTCCCCTTGGTGGGATGATATTTCCAAATCTGCCCAAGACCTCATTTCCCACCTTCTCACCGTGGATCCTGAGAAGAGATACACCATCACTGAATTCCTCGCCCACCCTTGGATCAAGGGCTCTGGCCCAACGCCTCGTGACGAGAAGAAGACGCAGCCCGATATGCTGCGCGCGTTCGATGCCAACAGAATCAACGATGGCGACCGTCGCTACGACTTCCGTTCCCCCGGTGCGGTCAACTTGCGTGAAGTGTTTGACGTCGGATACGCTGTTCACAGGCAAGAGGAAGAGGCCAAGCGCCGGAAGCAAGTTGGCACCAAGGGCGGTGTTCCCGCTCGCTTCCTCAACAACCTTAACGAGGAATCAGAGGATGAAGATGCGGAAATGGCCGAGAACAAGGAGGCTGAATACGTCCACAAGCCATCGCAGGCGACACAAGCACTCGAGCAGAGCATGCGTAATGCCCAGATCAAGGATCAGCAAGAACATCGCGGACGCGAGCGTGAGCGTCAAGCGCCTGCAGCTAACGAGAAGGGTTACGGCCAACACTCGGCAACTGTCACGGCTGCAGCTCGCCAACAGGTTAGAGACCGCAACAGACAGAAGGGTGCCTTTGAGCTCAGCCTTGACGGCGCCACATTGTTGGGAAGACGAAACAAGCAACCTCTCGCGGCAAGAGCTGGCGGCGCATAGGAGCCCCGTACTCCAAGCTGCACTCCTCCCGGGAGTGAGGTCGAACTTGTGCGAAGCCCCAGCGCTACGAAGTAGACCTAGAAGGTGGCACTATGAACAGACCGTTGTGAAATTTCAGGCGTAAGGGTTACAGGGATGGCATATCTTGGTCGAGTGGCCGAGGACACTAGCGCAAATCATGATACGAACGTCGTGGATATCCAGGTTGTGTCTGTCAAAGTAGGGTTTTGTTTGTGATTTGTGTTTTCCGGGGAGGATTAGTTACGACACGTATCTCTATTATGCGGCATTATACATACATAGGCTCGGAGTTCATTGGCAACTGGGACCATAGTTTCTCATTGCGTAAACAATGAATGAGATTTGCAATTCAATTTTCATTTCAACTTTCAAAGATATCTCGTCCACTCGAGTGATGGTTTGGTAATGCGCTGTCTATACGTCCAGGGGATTCGCGGCAACCACATGGTCGAGTTATCAGACAATTTGGGTTCGTTGGATGCTTTTCACAACCTTTCGTGGCATCAAAAATACCATCTTCGTCCTCGTTCTCGTATATTGCCCCCCATGGCCTACAACACAACCGACCCGAAGGTTGATGGCTTGGGCCCACTCGAACGGGCACACTATGTCTCCGATAATCATCAATCCCAAGTATCCAGTGTTCCCCAAAGGCCATCAGCGCAAGGTCAAACCATGGTGACCTATACCGGGGCAGCAGCGTGGTCTCCCTCCGGGAAGGGGTGGACTCATGTCTAGCAGAGCAGGTACGGGGCGGGCGGGGCGGGCGGGGCGGGCGGGGCGGCTGCTTTGTTCCTCGGGTTAGGTTGCTTCAGTATACCTGACAGATGCAGCTGTGGTCATGATAGGGAGGTACGTGACTGCACGGGCAAAAGTAAGTAGTACTTTCCCGTCGTGGCAGGTGGCATTCGGGTAATCATTGGGATGTTTTTCTGTGTTCCTGACGAAGAGGGCCGTTGCGGTCTGTGATGTTCTTTTCGATACTTAAATCGAAAACACTGCTGCTTGCTTGACTTCTTTTTCTGAGACCACTGGTGACTGGCCCCCGAGTTTCCGACTTCATCTCGTCCTCATCATACTAACTGCGACAGCTTCTTCTTCTTCTTCTTCTTCTTGTCGATGGAGTCTTTGCTTGGCGGCGAGCCATTCCTCGTGATTGTCCGACCCGGTTGTCGAATACTCTCTCCCTGGTATGATGGTGCTGTAAGGTTCCTCAAGTCGTCAAGGACTCAGACCTAGAGGATGTTCTGATGAGGGGCCAAGGAGGATGTCGGAGCGAAAAATGAGCGAAGTATAATTACCGTGTCGGAATTTTCTTCTAGCGTGCGTATAAGCTGATCCTGTCGCAGTTGTCTCCCCTATTGTAATTGCCGTCGTCATCGTGGTCGTCGGGGGTGCTGTGTTGTTCCCCACGATGTCTGTTGTCCGCAATTGTGATTTGGATCGGTCTGGCTCAGGGCAGCTTCGCAACTTCAACACCAGGTCGTCAAGTTCCAGAACGCGTCACCGCATCAGATCAGTAATCTCAAGCACCAGGCCCACAGCAGATCTTGCAGTGTGCCCTTCTTCTAGCTCCAGAGACAAAAAAGGTGATGGCCGATGGCCAGGACGGCACAGGCGCCTTCGACTATACTCCATCGACCCAGGACCATTCACAGCGATGTTGAGCCGCCGAGACAGGATTCGCCAAGACGGCAGCCCTCACCCATGACCGAATCTTTGCGAAGAGGATAGAAAAGGTCAGCGGGACGGCCCGCTCACGGGATTCGATCCGGCGGGAGCGGAGCTCACCGCGTTTCTTGATGGGGAGGAGGGGTCGCTCGTGAGACCAGGGTCGGATCGGATCTAAGGGTCACGATCTCGGAGAGGCGCTTGCCTGCGGCCCCAGATGGCGCAATTATGGGGACCTTGGCGCGATGGCCGATGAATTGCGCAACGACAGCTCATCGAAGAGGCTCGGACTTTGACCGTATGCTTGGGATGACGAACAATTTGCGATCAAAATTGAGTCTTTGGCTTTCGAGAGAGCAATTTCGAGCCTGACGAACACCGTACTCAGAACTATCAAGAGTTCCACCTTGCAATGCCCTTGACCTTGCCTGGTTTCAAGTAATCGATTGAAGCTTAACGGGATCAAGGGGGAAAGGCCATATCGACAACAACCTTTCGAGACAGTTGTGTTCTCACGAATCTGACTTGACCACGCCATCTTAGTCTTCGAGGCCCAAGCCTACGACACGAGTTGAACAAACGCGTGGGCTTGCGATGTGGTGCCATATCATTCAATAAAAACGTGTCGGTATCAACTCTTCTGCTTTGAGAGATCCTTTCGAACATTTCGCGTCGTCGGTCGCGTTTCTAAAGTGTGTTTGAGTTGGCAATTAGCTTTTGGTCCTCAATCCAATCAACGGCAACTCGTCTAGTTTGGCTCAAAAGAGTATACTGTATCGGCTTTTTTCCTCTCGAATATACTTAACGATTGCAATCTGCAATGCCACGTCTTCCATTTCGAGCTATTAGCAGCAAAGAATCAATTTGATCTGGTTGACTTTAGCGTATCAGAAAATCGGATTGTGCCAATTTCCATTCTTGTTGGAGTGCAAACGGCAAAATGCAACACAAAAAGCAGAACTGTGGCCAGACGGTGTCGACATAGTCACAACCCAAACTTGATACAGATACGGACAATAGACCTTTCAGCCAGACTGCCAGCTTCAAGGGACCTTCATTCAATATTTCGTCATTTGGTCAGACCATTCTGTCAAGTACAGAGATGTCAGAGACGTTGCCGACTGCAACTCGGTGTTGAGAACCTTGATGGCCTGCATTGATAAGGCCATTTTGGGAGTGTCTCAGGAACCCGGATGGCCAACCTTGATGGCCCAGCATCTGACACAAAATCAGTCTCCGCCATCGCTAATCCGCCAACCATCACCCGCGATGTTGCTGGAATTGAGCAAGATAGCCAGCGCATCCTCGAACTATGGACAGGTCAGGCGGCAGGCCACAGCATGTCGACGACTCGCAACGGATGCTGATGGACCGGGTGTTTTGATGAGCCAATTTTTCCCAGCCAGTTCGCACTACCCTTCCCACCGGGGGAATGCCGTTTCTCCCTTCCACCGCCAATCTGAGGCCCCTGAGATAGAGAGATGGTTGAAGGCATAAAAGGGGCCGCTCATCCTATCTTCCTCGTCGCGACCCCTTTCATTGTCATCTCTTCATTCGAGTGCCCGCAACACCGTCAAGTTGGCCGCTTTGAGGGCCGAAGCAAATCGACCAAGATATGCGACAACAGCCAAGTTCAGAAGGCTGAATGGAGAGAATGGGAAGACAGAGAAAACCCGCACACTGTATCGATCAGTCAGACTCTACTCCTCGCCTCTCCTGACGTCTGATGTTTACCTCTCGGGTCCCGGCTCAACTTCAGGCAGGGCACGGCGCCTTTGAGAACCCCCACGGTAGGGAGCCACGGCCTCTCCTTTTTGTTCCTTCTCCTTGTCCATACCTCTCGCCTGTCTCGCTTCATTTCCCCTCTCACCGGTCTCTTGACTCTCTTCACCTCGAGCTCGGAGTGATTGGCCGATTGGGTAACCTGCTCCATCACGAGTTGCCCAGCGTCGCCGTCGGCCAATCTCGATGATTGGACAACCCACGCCTTTTAGCTAAGAGGTATTATCGCTCTTCTCTCTTTACGGAACGTCCGATAGGGATTTTACTGGGATTGTCTTCCCCTGGCAAGGTTCTTTTGAATCTCCTCTAAGCGGCGGAGCCGAGGTAGAGCTGAGGTTTAGGCAAAGGCCTATAGTCTCACTGGTGAGACTCCATCACTGAGTTGTCTTCGATGACTTGCTTTCCTGAGGCTTTTCACCATGCTTTGATGATGGATGGCGAGGTCATCTGGCGTTGGACAAGTCTGTCGTCTGTCGATTCTCTCGTCTTTTTCTGTCTGTTGTTTTCCGTCTTTCACTCGAGGCTGCCTAGTAAGCAGACGGATCCCACTTGGGTAGACAGCTAGTCCCAACTCTGGCCAATACGGGATGGCTGCGTCGCATCACCTGAAGACTTTGGTGCGGGATGGTACAAACTCTGTTTTGCGCGGGTGCCGCCGCCAAGCGCATCACAAGCAGATTTCCTTCTCTGTCGTCCTACATACATTGTCATGCATACACAGACGGATTCACACCAATACGCACCCAACCACGACGAGCAATGCCGCCGTCGCCTTTCCTCAGTCTGGTGCCGTGCCCCAGAGGCGTCCACTCTCATAGCTCTTCACTCCAAAGCAGCCTTTCTTAACACATCCGATAATCCACAATCCAGACCGGCTCTGCCCACCCTCCCACGCTGTTCCTAGCCCGAACGTTTGACCGAAGATGGGCGGGGCTACCCTCATCGGGCACTTCTCATCCACTCACCATTGACGATCCTTCCAAGCCCGCCTACAGCATCGCATTCACACGACCACGGCAGCCATGCACGCTCCATTCTGCCGCCCTGTTCGCCATATCGAACTGTCGTGCGTGGATGCCCAGCCTGCCACACTTGACCCAATCACAAGAGCCCGGCGCCCCGTCGTCGGGTGGGACCCCCAGCCCGAACGTGGCACCCTGCTCCGTGTTACCAGCCGACCACACGTCTCAAAGCTTGCACAGCTCTGCACCCGTAGATTCGGTCCCAGACCCCGCTCCTCAACGGTGCCAGTCCACCTTCTCCAAGCCGCAAGGAGCTACTATGGATCCAACCATGGGAATACCAGCCTGATGCGGTATCACACAACCGCCATGTCATCTCTCTGCCTCCAACAGAGCTTGCGCGGTATTCGCGGTCTACACTACGGAGCACTTATCCGATCCTCCAGGGATAGACATGTCCCTTCTCCGAGGACTCCCGCGTCTTCCACGTAATCGCGAATGAAATCGCGCTTCCTCGTCCGATAGCCGCCTGATGTCTGGCTGACTGATACGTGGGGGACATGCCTCCGAGATGGCTATATAAACCCAGACCAGCTCTGGTGGAAAAGGAGATTTCTTCTTCATCCGACTCATCAGCTTCAAACACCAGACTCACAACAAACAAACACTCAAGCCTTTTCGCTTCCACCACTAAACTATCAAAATGGCCCCCTGGTGAGTGAACCGCCTGCTCTGTCTTCCACGCACGGGAGATACAAGATTGCGCATGAGTCTCTTTCTGGATGATTGGGATTCTCTTTGAGTTTCGGTCTATCCCACCGGAGGAGCTATGCCTTTGAGATCTCCAACGTCGAAGCTAACCTGATGTGAATAGCACCTGCTCCTCCTGCGGCTCCAGCTGCGCTGGCTCCTGCACTGCCTGCTCTTGCGGCTCTTGCTCCGTAAGCCACATCTATATGACAGCAAATCTCAAGATACACAGGCGCTGACTTTCAATCTTCACAGCACTAAACAAAGCATGACTTTTCTGCTCCCATCAAATTTGACAACCCGGAAGCGGCTCGCTCGCCAATAGCCAATATCCAACCCGAGCTGTGTGCCCTCCATTCGACAACGCGGGTGGAAGGATTGTAAGATGTTGACTTAGGGGTGGATCTTTGACTGCTGGAACCCAGTTCCATTTGCCAACAATGATTGCCGAAACGGGGAATCCTCTAGTCTGTGGAGAACGCCGGGTTTCTACGTTTACGCTTGACAATTCCGGCAGTTCTTGTTGGTAGTTGGAACTGGGACTCGAGATGGAGAATTCTTCTTTCATTCTTTTTTGTCTCTCGTCTCGTGGTATGATAGTTTTGTTTTGAGATGGCAATACGAACTACGAGTGCTTTGATTCCCGGGAAATATCTTACCTCTTCTGCTGGTGACCCAATCATGCGGCCTATCTTGCTCGGGTAAAGTACATATTCTGCGAAAAATGAATAGCTTTGTATCCTTGTGAGTGATTTAAAGGCATCTGATTCTTCAGGTGGGGATCTTGCTTCCCTTGGAGAGGTTGCGGGCGGCCCGCCGAATGCCTACCTAAAGCGGGACATGCATGCATGGCTTCGAGCTGATTGACGCTACTTGCTGAGACTGGAGCTTTTCGGGTCTCCAAACTTGCCAAATCAGTGAGGCGAAGAAAGGTCAGGCTTTCTCCAAAGGGGGCCAGCTCCAATGAAGATGCGAGGAAAGGTCGGGGATGACAGCAAGCTTCGTTCGGGAGAGCTGGAGAATGTTCCTTTCCCATCCACTTCGCTGGCACCTCTGGTGGTTTGTCCCCCACTCGGCGTCGGGATCGGGGTTCATGCGGGCATGTGTTGGATGGTTCGCGACGGAGGGGGAGGTGCGAGGGACGAGGCGTTGGTTCGTTGGTGTGTGTAAGATACATGTGCCTAATTTATCAATGTAGGGCGTTTCAAACTGTCAGCTGACTGATTTTGCCTGATTGATGCGCTGGATGGATGCGGCTTGGCACATGAGAAGATGTGGTTGCGATAGGGAGGATAAGGTAGGCGGGATGAGACACGAAGGCATGCGGCGAGAAACGGTTGGCGGAGTTGCGGCTTGTGGTTGGGGGTGTGAGGTATGCGAACTTGACTGGGTGTGGTTTGGCGGCGATTTGGGGGCGATTTCGTTGGGGGGAGCTATCTGAGGCGCGGCGCGCGGCGCGTGGTTACTAGGTAAGGTACTTACTAAGTAGCCGGTGCCGTGATCTGCTGGTAACGGGGTTTCGGGGTTTCTCTGTGTTGGCGTTGATACCACGAGGGGGCTTGAAAATGATGTAAGGTCTATGGGAGTGTTGGTTACCTACCTCATCGCCTTGGATGATGTGGTTGATCTGTACGATATTGGCAATTGCTGTCTCTTTTCGGGGTGCACGTCAACGAAGAAAATTGTTCCTGGGTCGGTCCTTGAGGACCATTCGACCCTCCGTGGGGGTTAAAATCGCAGTGAAACGATTTCTGTGTAAAGGGCAGTGAAACGATTGGAGCGCTGATGTGGTTGTGGCACTAGACTCAGCGCTGCAAGTACCCCCGTCAGCTTCGAAGATGACTCTGACGATGAAACTAAACATGATATTGAGATTCTATGCGTTCATCTGTCTAACAAAGTACCTCGCAAAGGTCTGATCTAGGCACCACATACCAAAGTTCTATTATCGGCAATACTGAGTACAACGAGAGCCGACTTAGTAACGGCCATAGTAGCGAACCTTGATGGCTCGGTTGTGCAATCTTTTCTAGACCCTGACAGCCGGGACTGTCACTCAGTCTCTCTTCTTCACCTCGAGTACCAGAAATGGCAATTTTAGCCTGATGAATACTTTGCACTGCAGTCATCATTTTAGGGAGGTAGAAGTGTCTTTGTTTGCTACCTGCCTACGTACAAGCTGGCGAATATTCCATTTTAATGAACTGATTACTGGCAGGAACGTGATCTGCCCGGACGCCGATGTCCCCGGCCCCTCCTCAAGTGCTCATCTCTTGAAGGGCTTTCATAGCTAAAGCAACGACAATTGACTCTAACATCACCCAGACAAACTCAGAAACGAGCCGCGAACATCCACTGAGTCTTCACGAATCGATTCCCCGAAAAGATAACCTACGATTCAACGACAAGCGCGTTACCCTCGACGAAAAACTTACGAACCCACCCGACATAGCACCAGCCAGCGAAGCCAAAGGTCTAAATCAACAAGACAAGATCACGAATCCGAACAAGAACTCTACATAAATTAAGCTTCTACTCTCACCGGGGAACTTCCCGCCTTCGAGCGGGGGTCTCGGTGAATTGTCAAATCTCCAGCGATCCACCCCGCTTAGAAAGCCCCCGACAAGGAATATGCCCGGATGCGGTCGGCCAGCTGGGCAGGCGGAGCAGCAAAAGATCCCGGTGCAATGCGGATGAAGTGCCGATAGGGCTAGGATGGGGCCCAACGCGGAGTTGAGAATCGTATGTTCATCTGATCCGAGATCGCAAGTACCAGTATGAGTTGGCATTGATGCAGTTGCTTGAGACATCGCAATCCCGGGTAGGATCGGTATAGCTCACTACAGAGCTCGATGCGAAGGGGAATCACGAACACATCCAAAAGTTCAAGAGAAGGCGGCAGCTGTTCTAAGGATTCTATTAAGCCAAGCTCAGGCTCGACAAGTCTCCTTTCACCACGCACCAGATCACCAAGTCGAGGCAAGGCTGATTGGCGGACAGGATATGCATCTCCAACCAAATCCGTCGGAACCTGCAGCGCACACGGTAGAACGGAAGAAGAACAGATGGCGACGTTCAATGAGAAGCGCCAAACGGATCAGCCAGCCCGGCGGTACGGCACGGCACGGCTCATGAGGTTGGAGGTTGCCTTGGCTCTTTCCGTTGTCGTTACATGACTTGACGCCTGCGTTGTGTCAGTGGTGCCACGGTGGGAAACGCATGAGCGCTTGGTGGGATGCCTCGCCGCAGATACTTGAAGCATGTCAGACGGTGGGTGTCGCACGGCGTCGTCCACTGTCGCCATGTGAATTGTCTTTTGGAGGCGGCGTGGCGACATCAGGCTCCAAGAGTCCTTGCCAACTCGGTGGCAACTGATCCTCTAATGGCTGGTGATGTCCGCCAGAACTGCGGTTCGCGGACTGGCAGTATTGTGAATTGCGTGTGTTGATGTGGTGTCCTGCGTTGAGTGTTTGCACCATCATTTTTAGCCCTCGTTCTCTGAGCAAGTTAGAAACTCCTTGTAGCTTGTGCAACAACTTGTGCAGACCACACCAGTCTTGTTCGAGTTTGTCTAAGTCCTATGTAGACGATTCCTCACAATTGTCAGGCTCATTGTCGTCGGGGTACTTTATTCTCCTTCTCTATTACGTGCAATTACGCGCAGAACATTGCGGAAGCGTCGTGCAGCTCGAGTCTCTATTCAGTAGCAGGAGAGGCGGCGTGGGCAATTGATGATCGTTGAAGAAGTTGCAATTTGACACCTTGCTCCTCACAATACCTGTACAAGTACATGCGGACTGCCACCGATGCCTTCAAGCAAGCGCCAAAATAGATCACTCTAGTGGCTTTACACGGAAATTATCGGGAGTTATTCCCAGCGAGGAAGGCTCCGCATCATTAATCAAAAGCCTGGGAGGCCCCCTTGACAGCTCGAGTCATTGCCGGTGGCTGCGACGGCGTCACCGAGATCACGGAGGTTCCAGCGGGGCTCTTTCGGCCGCGGTCCGGCTTATCGCCGACGAAGACTAGGCGGTTGGGTTGACCACGGGTTTATTCAGTGTAGCAAGGCGAAGATAACTAACATGTTCGTCCGATCGGGTTTCTGGGGGAGAACGGTATTGTCGACCGAAGAGGTTGTGTTAGCCAATGCATTGACCACCATCTCACTTGCTTCTAGGAGCGTTTAAACCTTCTTCAACGTAACGATTGCCTAAATAGGCAAGCAGACTTGATCGCTGTTAGGGCAACTATTTTTGAAGGTCACGTACAATCATGTGTGGCCGAACCAAGGCCGGATGAGAGAGGAATTGAGTCAGTAATGATCACCAGTATCGCGGTAGCAACTGCTCCACGGTGAAGTTGTAGCAGAAATACAATTGACTCGATAACATCGTACAGACGATGCTATTATTTAGAGTAGGCCGGTTCCTGGTGACCGATTGAGACTCGCTTCTATAATCATCGGCTCTCTTACACGAACAGAGTCCATCATACCAAGACCAGACACAAAATATGGTGCCACGATATTCGGCTTACGCCAGCCTCTTCCCCATCTACTTACAGACATGCCTTGCGCAGGATACCAGCATTATTTCCGTCCTATACCTTATGAATCGACCTATCTTCTTCCTTCACCGTTTCACGGCAACTTGTTTCACAGCTTTGTTAATAGCACCAATACGTCGGATGCGTTAACTAACGAACTCCTTCAGTCTGCCACCAAAGCACCGTTCATCTCATACGATGACGAGCCCCTGGCACTTCTCGGCCAGAATCCAGCCATTGAGTTGATCGAGAAGCGTCCAGGCAACTTTGCGGGAGAAGCTGGCGTATGGATCAGCGATCGCAATGAACTCTGGTACACAACTTGGATCAATGATGGGCCTACCCACGTGGAAATCTTGGGTTTGAAAAATAACAGTATCAGAAACCTGACCTCTTTATAGCCGTTGAAGAACCCGAACGGAGGATTCTACCACTAAGGTCTCATGTACTTCACTTGCTTGCGAGACGACTCTCGAGACTGGTCTGGCGGGGTCGTATCTGTCAACCTAGAGACAGGCCACGTCGAAACTGCCCTCAACTCTTACTTTGGTCTCAAGTTTGATAACATTGACGATGTGGCCTAGGTCACGCAGCCGGGAACAAATAACTCGTACATGTTCATCACTGTCCTGCCCTTCGCCAAGGGCTCAACCACGACAGATCGCCTGCCTCAGGGTCTGTGGCGCTGGGACCCCCAGAAGAAGGTCTTGTTACCTGCCATCAGCAGGACTGAGTTCCCCGTCGCTAACGGCGTCCGACCATCGAGGGACTAAAAGACTCTTTGGGTGACCGACTTTGGCGGCGATGAGCGAAGTAGAATTTGGGGGCTACCGGCTCAAGTAGGAGCACCGGCGATCTACAAATACGATCTCAATGAAGACATGTGGCCTGTCAACAAGCGAATCTTTGGTGTCTCGGGAATGCAGGCTCCGGATGGCATCCGCATCGATGACAAGGGTAGAGTTTGGACGGGTGAGGGTGAAGGTGTTGTGGTCCGAAGTTCTCAAGGGAAGGTTATCGGTGTCTTTAATGGACAGTTTTTCACGAGAGATTCTGTTAACACGGCGATTGTACAATTCGAGCTCGCCAGGGATGTTCTGGTAGTGTTGGGCCAGAATAAGTTACGGTTTACAGCGCTTAACAACCTGCATCAGCTTGTACTTTATGACAGACTACAAATTCCGGGGATAGCTTAAAGGTAAATCAATAAGACCTCAATCACATGGGTTGCTGATTTGACATCTTTTGCTCAAGCTCTGAAACGTCACTGTTGGTAATTCAAATTACGGGTTTACCAAGATGATATATCCAGACATGCAAGAGTTTTAGACGTATCTCGGTGGTAATAATGACGGAAGAAAACATAACCTGTGTCGATGAGCTGCTTACCCTCCTCAAGGTTTATCGCCTTGCTGATGTATCGTGACATTCTGGGCATTTGAATTGCTATTACCCTGACCTGGCACGCACCATACTTTGGCAAACTCGGACTCCAAGCAAGGAACTCTTGATCTATTTTGACTTTCCCTAGTCCACGAGCCTAAAGTTATCTCAATATGTCTTCATATAACCTTACATTTAACCTTGTTCCTATCGAGCAGAAAATCCAACAATTTTGGGCCAATTGCCCCAAGGGCGCCATTTCATTGCCCACAAACCTTCAATCCGAACGTAGCCATCCCATAGCACTTCAACCTTTGAATCAAGACGATAAATACAGAGACTATGGAACTACCCAAAATGATACCAGGACGGACACGGTAATTTCTCAGCGTGCTGTACTTCAGTATGTAACAACCCGCGGGATGCGGTCCTTCCCACCACAGCTGGAGACGCGCCTCCTGATACCGGTGGGATAACTCTAAAGTTCGAGTTGCCTCTAGATACTGACTCGATCGATTCAAAACCGGGGACGCTTTAATTTGGGATAGATTGAAAATGTTGCAAATTAATCGTTCATTCAGCCTGCGTGAGTTGATCGTGCTCGACTTGATCAAGCTATAAAGACACTCGTTAGAACCTGAGCTCAGCCAAGCCTTCAAGACTACCACCATTTACACCAAGCCGACGCCGTCACAGTCCTTATCAATTGCATTTTTTACCACCGACCTTGCGTAAGTGAAACTACTAATCCTGACTTGTTGGTCGGCCTTTCGCTAACGAGGTAGCACCCAGGATTCCAACCCACAATGCAGCTCACAGGCTTCACCGCGGCTGTCGTCGCTATCTTCTTCGCCACCAGTGCCAGTGCCACGTGCACCACATCCTGGGGTGGATCCCCTTGCTCAGGGACTCAGTTGGCGTGTTGTATGGATATCAGCTATGGCGTCATGGAGCAGAACAAAAAAGATGAGAATTGGAGATATGCTTGGACGCGAGCCAACTGCAATGACTGCAAGGCTTGAGCCTGAGGACGGGGCTTTAGATCGGGAAACTCATCTCTCTTATCAAATCAATAACCTAATTCCATCGAAAATCCATGAGACAAGAAGGCTCATTAGTTGGGCTACGTCATGAGGTCTGCTAACGCATGATCCTTGATTCACGAAGAAACCAGATGCTATAGGTGATTGCCGAGGGAATCAATTTGTTCTTAAGCACTTTCGAAATTTCATACGCCGAACGCCCCTTGAGATCTCTAATAAGCTTACCGTGTCTTTGATCATTATGCTCTATCTTAAAGTATTGTGCGTACCTTCTGCAGCATCGACCTCGATCTCCTCGAGCTGAACTACAGAGGGTTAGCAACGGCACGCACGGCAAACCCAGCCGGGATACTGCTGGTAAGGGCCGGAAACCTCACAAACGAGAAACCTGGGCACGGAGAAAACTTTTGCCCACCGGCTTTCATTTTGTCTTCTGCCTGGCCAATTGAAATGTCGTGAACATCCGTCACCGGGTCATAGAGCAAAGAGCTGGACGAAGCGAGGAAGTCGGAACGCCTGAATAATCTGACCACGAGCCGCCAAGCGCGAAGCGCCGAGCCTCACCAAGAAGCGCCCAGCACTGAGTGGTCCCAACATCACCCAACAATCCTCGTCAGCCAAGGACCTCCAAGAAAACCCAAGAGAACAGGGATCATATCGCAATGTCTGAGCCATAAAGTATTGACTTGGCCGACCCAAAGGTGGTCGTCACACCGGAATGCGTGCCCCGGGCTTCATCACCTTCCCAGCTGCGGCGCCCCCTTTCGTCTCCACTCAGCGGAGAATCTTGCTTCCTCCGCTTGGCGCCGAGGCCGCGCTGACACCAATGTGAGATCCGGACTCCTCCGCTGAGTATTGGCGGCGGAAAACCAACCTACTTCCTAAGTATTGCGTTCAATGATGGTCCTCGAAGGTGCTGTTAGCCCCGGATGCCGAGTCACTTTGTTAAGACACTAAGACTCTTGTCATACCTCGCCACTCTAGGCAGTCCACTGTTTCTTCTTGGGCGAGTTATGTATGTTACCTGGCTTCACGTCCTCCCGGCTCTTTCCGTAGCCATTAGCCCTCTCACCCGATAACTCTTCTATGCATTCTTCTCTGGTCGCTCTTTTCCTATGACCGAAAATACGTTCATTAGAAAAGTGTCATCGAAGTACTTTGGGGAATTGTCCATCAATCTCGATTAGCGTAGTCCATCTCAACTCGCTGGGTGGGGTAGTTAAGTCAGCGTCCTGGCATTACCAAAGTTGAGAGATTTATCCCTTGCTCTAGAATCTACACCGTATCTGGCCTTGAGCCTGACACTTTACTACCAAGCATGTCTCACATTTTGCTCTGCGCTTCATGTCTGAACGGCGCTACTGAGGCTGTATTAGATCATGTTCTTTGGCTGGCTAGAAGCCAAATCTTTAAGCGTCTAACCTGGGAGGAGGGACGCGTGAGTGTTACCTACGGATAGTCAATCCAGAAACAATCAAGCTGTCAGATACCTCCATGACAAGACTACTAGATTTGAGACATCCCCAGCCCAGTTAGCAGATGATGACAAAACCCCTGAAAATCTAACGCTCTCCCCTGAAGATGAAGAGATACTGATCCGCAGGTGAAGTCTTCTATTTACGAGATTCACCTGCACTTGGCCCGTCACGCCTTCCCTGTGACCCCATTTGTGGCAGTACTTCGTAGAAGTATCAGCCGAAGCACGGATATCTCGCTGTCTTCACCTCGAGTGCTTTGTACGCTCTAGCATTGAGAGCCGCTATAACCCCCTACCATGATCTACAGGGCGTACTTGGCTCTGAATCAAAAGTGTTTGTGATCAGAACCCATCCCCAAAAGAATTTGGCCGCCCAAGATCTGCAGCCAAGTCGCTCTCTTTTGGCTCGCAGCCAAGTGTGCCCCTGGTTGACATACCACTCTTAAATATCCGGACTCTCGGCGCTGCAGAAGAATTAGTTGCCCTTCCGCCGCTCACCAGACCACTCTTCATCAGCAGCGCTGAGCTACCGGGTGACTGTCATACCACACGGAATCGAGCAAGCGTCGTTGTCCATCATCATTCCAAGTTCTGGCCTCCTGACTTCATTTTTTTGCGGGATTTCCTTCTGCTCGTTTAGACATTCGTTTTGGATTTCTTTATCATCCTCTCAAGGTCTCGTTAGAATATCTCTTCTTTCTTCTTTCCAAGCAACTCCATGCAAATATCGTATGAGCATTAGCTAAAGAGACCATCCCTATCCTCAAAGCCCTTGCTGGCCAAGGCAGCCTTTCTCGGCAAACGCACAACACACCTTCTGGGCACGTCACACAAAGATCACTCACACATTGAGAGTGAAGGCACCAGCGGATACCCAAGATGCCTACCTTTGATCCCAGCGAAGTAAATGTCGTTCTCGCTGTCTTTGGTGCGTGCTCCGGACCTTACATGTTTTGGCTATGACTAATCCGGTGTTCCCACCATATCCAGGCGCGTTCATCATTCTATTTGGTATCATATCCGTCAAGATCAAAAATGTGTGGTACTTAGGCGAGGCCTGTAAGATCAACCTCGAACGTTCTCCGCGCTGTAGTCACCGTAGATACGGAGCGTAATACTTAAGTTCCCAAGGACCATTCACTGACTTGTTGCTCTTGATCAGTACCGGCCGTAGTGTTGGGCATATGCCTGGGCCCTATAGCTGCTAGGTTCATCGACAGTGAGAGGTGGGGGTCAGCTGTTGAGGGTCAGACCCATGATATCACTCTTGTAAGTGCCTATAATGTGGCCTCATCACGATCCGGATCACTTCAATGTGGAGCCTTGCGTTCAGGCACTGATGATTGGCTTGTGTCATAGGGGCTCACAAGAGTGATGATTGGCATTCAGCTGGTCATGGCTGGCTATCAACTCCCAGCAAAGTACCAAAAGACTAAATGGAAGGAGATGGCAATCTTAATGTTACCCATTATGACACTGATGTGGTTAGCGACGACAGGCTGCATCCTGGCAACCATTCCCAAGTTGACATTTCTGGGTGCTGGGGTCATCGCTGCCTGCGTGACCTCGACGGATCCAGTCCTGTCACAAGCCGTTGCCAAGGGGCCTTTCGCCGATAAGTTCGTTCGGCGCTCTTTGCGTGAAATCATCTCTTCCGAGAGTGGCGCAAATGACGGCTTCGGCTTCCCCATATTGATGCTGACGACGTATCTCATCCGGCACACGGAGGGATCTGAAGTGCACGCGGATGGCTCGACATTGCACGCAGTCAGTCGTACGCTTCTTCCGAGAGCCGGTGAGGTCGCCCGCCAAGGCGGAGGCGTTGGTGTTGCTCTGCTGAATTGGCTGCTGGAGACATGGCTTTACTTTGTGCTCATGAGTATAGCCTACGGAATCATTATGGGAACTCTGATCAGGCTTGCACTGAAGTATTCTGTCAGAAAGTAGGTTGATCGGTCAACGAGCACGAATTCGGTAGTTTCTAACAGAGACACAGAAAGTGGATCGATTCCGAAAGCTACGTCCTGGTGCCCACAGCGATTGGTGTAAGTCACGGACACTAAATGAACTACATGAAAGTTGACTGACAACTCATAGCTCTTCATGATGGGCACTTCAGGAGCCATCGGAACTGACGATTTGCTATCTTGCTTCGTCGCTGGCAGTGCGCTCAACTGGGACGGCGAGTACCTTGCAGAGGCACAGAAGCGGCACGACGAAGTCAACGCCAGCATCGACGTTCTTCTCAACTTTGGCGGCTTCATATATCTCGGGACCATCATCCCATGGAGTGACTTCAGCTCTGACATCACCGGAATCAGTCTCGGCCGACTCTTTGCCCTCGGCGCACTTGTTCTTGTATTCCGTCGCATCCCCGCCGTGCTTCTCACGTACAAGCTCATGCCGAACACTATCATAGACTGGAAAGAAGCCTTATTTATGGGCTACTTTGGCCCTATTGGCGTTGGTGCTGCCTTCTATGTCGAGCATGCGCGTCACCTCTTCCCTAAACTTGCTGAGGCCGAGGGCGACAGTGAGGTAGTTGACATGCTTCGGGCTATTGGTCCCGTCGTGTATTGGCTTGCACTCTTCTCAATTATAGTCCACGGAATCTCTATCCCTATACTCAATGTCATATATGGATTCATGGGCGTTCAACCAGTTCAGGATGATGCCGTGGCAATTCGACGCCGATCTGTTCGCGTCCCTCCTCCATCGAACGCGGTTGAGGGCGACAAGGAGACGTTCATTGCCTTCAACCGTTTCTCTCGGCCTAATTTGTCGCAGGAAACACTGCCGCATATGGGGGATGACGACTCATCTGTGGGAGATCAAAAGGGTTTTCACCCAGACCTCGAGTCCGGCCTCCAAGAAGCTAGGCAAAATGCAGGGTTATCACCACGGAGAAGCTTCAATCTCCCACGCCCGAATGCACCTCGCAGCTTCAGTCTACCCCGGACAAGTTTGAGTCAACTGAAATGGGATCAACCACATGTCACACAGGGATAGACTACTTTATCTTGCTGCCTTTGGGACATGCCAGTAGAGAGAATATCGGAGGCAAGAGGCTAAGCGATTCGCGTAGTACCAGATAAGATGTGTGGTATTTAAATAGAAATTTCCACCGCCATTGAGAATGTCTTGAGTGATGCTATACAGCGAACAAACCTACTTAAATACGTTTCGATAACACCTAGAGCATGTTAACCGGGGGCCAAGGTGATTGCCGTCGTGATTCATCTGGAAGACTGGAAAGGCCCGATGTAAGGTACACATACGAACTGACAATGTTCTGGCCCTTCTTCGAACAGCAGACTGAAACTGTCAGAGACATTGCTCTTGATCATAGGGATACGAATCCCTGCGGCTCCAAACGCCGACATCTAGATGTAATTTAGCTGTGTTATCTCGTCCGGATGTAAGTGGACCATCGGGCCGAGCTGAACGAGTCGAGTATCCGCTGGCCGGCTGAGACCAGGACGATGACAATGATTTGGATGAATCAATTAGATGGTTTGCTCGAAGAATGACGCTGTTCGAGTCGAATGACTATGGAAAATTTCAGGATGAATGCATGTAACGTTCACACATCTGACCCAGACTCGTGATGCCTTGCATCCATCATCAGACCAACCCGCAGGTTACCATCAGACAGGCCGTTCTGTGCATACCTTACCGCTGCTTTTCCCTCATCAACCAGACGATAGACTTCATGGATAAAGATTCCCACATCCAGAATAACAGAGATCAGCAAGTACAAGCCTTGAAATGCCGGACGTTGGGGTCGGATTACCAGGGCGTCATGCGGGCAGAAGACGTAATTGATGCGGGGAATCGACGCTACAGGGGACGATCCGGCGCTTTACCCCGCTGGACTTGGCGCATGTCATTCGTTGACAGTGGTTGCGACCCCCTGAGCTCAATCATCTGATGCAATGTTGGGTTTCACAGAAATAACACTCGTCGATGAGCTCTACTTCATATTTGGAAGATACCTGTTACCTTTGAAGCTCATATACCTTTCCTCTCTGGTGCTTTGATAGACGCCACAGACTCATCAGCTTGTCTTTGTCCACGCGCTTGTTCGTAAGAAGCCCTAGACATACTTCCAGAAGCGTCTGTTCGCGTGTACCGAAGCTCGCACTCCTCCCATCCGTCCCTTGATTGGATTTCTAGGCCTTAGCACCCATCCATCATGCGTGGCTTGGCAGTCTTCGCATCGTTAGCCGCAAGGCTAGTCCTCGGGCTCGAGACCACTCGGTTCTCGGCGGCCACCCTGCTGGCTGAATCTGACGCAGATATCCCGAGTGCCAGTGACTGGGCGGAGAGGGCGGAGAAGGAAGGTCGGAGCCTCTGCATACTCGAGCCGGACGCTAACGGCGGGGACGACGCGCCGGCACTACTGAGCGCGCTCAACGACAAGTGCCGCACCAAGAGCATCATTGTGCTTGATGGACCAGTGTACAACATCAAGTCGCCGATGGTCACCACCAGCCTAGACGATGTTGTAATTGATCAGCGTGGCAGACTACTCTGGAGCAATGACACGACGTACTGGCTCTCGGTCTCGATGCCTGTGGGCTTCCAGAACCAGAGCACGGTATGGCACTTTGGAGGTGATGGCGTGGTTTGGGAAGGCCACGGAGTCGGAACGCTCGACGGCAATGGCCAGGTCTGGTATGACCTCAATGCCGGCGGATCCAACATGCCTCATCGGCCGATGAACATCAACTTTCGAGACTTCTCGAATTCGACTGTCAAAGGTCTCCGATTCGTGCAGAGCCAAATGTGGACGATGAACATCATGTACTCCAAGAATCTCGTGTTCGAGGACATATATGTGAACAGCACTTCGTCTTCGGAGAATAACTCTCTCAACACGGACGGCGCTGACACCATGTACTCGGACAATATCACCTTCCGCCGGTGGGTGGTTGTCAACGGCGACGACGCAATTGCTCTCAAGGCCAACTCCAGCAATATCTACATTTACGACAGCGAGTTCTTCGGCAGCACTGGCATAGCCATGGGATCCATCGGCCAGTTCATCGGGCAATTCGAGTATATCGAGAACTTCTTGGCGCGGAACGTGACTTTACACGACACCCTGCGGGGCTGCTACTTCAAGACGTGGACCGGCATTCAGATTGGGTATCCGCCCAATGGCGGCGGCGGCGGTACGGGATACGCGCGTAACATCGTGCTGGAAGACATTAAGCTCGACGGCACCCGCGGAGAACCACTTTTCATCACTCAATGTGAGTCCTTCTCCGGACACGCGGGTGAGTCCTGCGATACGTCGACGTTCAAGATTTCCGACGTCGTTTGGAGGGACTTTAGCGGAACGATGATGGACGACGTGCCTAGCTCGGGCTTCTTCCGGTGCAGCGCGGCCGCGGGCGGGTGCAACAATCTGACGGTAGAGAACTTTTCAGTAACGCCCGTCGGCCAAGATACTGTCTTGGATAAATGGCTCTGCAAAAACGTTGAAGGCGATGAAGGATTCGACTGTCAGGAAATTGAGGAGACCGCCGATGAGCTCTGAATATCATTTCAGTAGTCGGCGACTATAATGATCCGGCGTATCCGGGACCTTTGGCGGTATAATCATCAAACGTGGCACCCTCGGCGGCATAATGTCGCGGGGGCCATCACCGTTAGCGTTAAACTTGACCGCAATTTTCTAATCAGCGGCCGCTTAGTACGGTATGCTTTGATCTAAGTGGACACAGGCCGTTGCCAAGAGTTTTATCAGAAGGTTGTGGTGATCGCTTTAAAGGGCTAGGAAGTCCGCCGCGGGTCTCTACATGGCGGCCGCGTTCCTGGCAATGAGCCTCGGCCGAAGCCGGGGACTTTGAACTCCGTACGCCGATGTTTTGGTTCCAAATCTCCAACGGCCTCCAACGGCCCAATGGAGGATTGAATCTTCCCGCAAAACACTAAACAGTCCGACGTCCGATGTTCTCGTTCTTGTTCGGGCGCTGGTCTAGCCATGTCTGTGCAGTTCGCCTCCGACCTGCTAGGACTTGTTAGAACATTGGTCTGCAGTTATTCTCCTGAGGCTTCCTCGCAGATTGATCTAGCCTTCACCACGATGCGAATCTCGAAGCAGTAATTGAAGTGCAGAGGGTGATTATCTAAACGCCCTAACACGCCAGGAATGGTGTTTCTCACATCAGCAGCTCCTTCACCGTCACCTATTACGTGACGGTACAACAGCCGTCCCGGCACTGGCCTTGTCAGATGCTTGAACGTGGTGTGCTGTGCCAGCTAGCGCCAAGGGTGGCTGCGTATCAAGCTTCTGATCTTAGTTGCCGATCCTGCAGCTTATTCCCAGCGAGTCTTGTTCGTTTATTGACCCTGGTACAGTCGCAAGCTAGCCGTGTCAGAAGGGAGTGTTGACGGGCATGGCAGCTCGAGGCGAAAGCTAGATCATGATGGGCATTGATGGCAAAGCCTGCTTCTTTTAAGTGTTGGTAGCGGGGAGTTAGCGGGAGCGGAAGTTTTTCTCCTATTCTGGTTCTTCCTGAACGCTCGGACGCGTCTTTGAGCTGAGGTTGATGTGGGCAGTGGAAACATCAAAACATGCGGCAAGCTGCATGCTTCCGTGCGAACCTCCTATTCTTGGAAGAGCTTTAAATCAAGTCTTCAAGGCATGACTCGACCGCGGTAAGATTTACTAAACATCGATTGAGTTCGTATCTCGATCATGACAGTTCCATGGCTCTCCTAAAGCGTTCCCAGTCCCACGCAGATTCGAACACTTGGCGAAAGGACCGGGTCCACAATCCCGCGCAAAGCATTCGCAATTAGATGGAGCCAGGAGAAGGGCGCTCTGTTGATTTCCATACTCTAAATTTGATGGCAAGACTTTTTCTCGGAGACGACTTGGCGCCCGAATTCTACCCCCTGACGCTGATTCCGGTTGTTCCGGCTGCCGAGCAAAACCACGGGAAGTGAACCCCGTCATCCACGACTCCCAAGTTTCCTTATGTGCAAGCAAGTGGGTAGAGTCCGACTCGGAATGATTGGATGATCCACCAGAAAAGGAACTCCCACATCCCTTTTTTCGAAGTTCTTCCCACCGTCAGTCCATAATTGGATTACAGTGATTCAGCGTGGAGACCGGGCGACTGCGAGCAAGGAGGCTCTAATGAAAACTGGGGTTTTTGGCTTACGATTTACTGTACGTTGCCGGGCGCAATCACACACGCGTCAAGGAGGGCTTGGGTCGCGTGCCCTCCTTCCTGCGCCGAGCCATTCTTTTGCCTGTGCTTGGCTGGAGTGATACCGTAATGGATCATGGATGGATGGTGGACATGTGGGATGGGGTGTGGGACGTCAGGTCGTCGTGTCTCCAGTCCCGCTCCGCCCTCCCTCCTTCAACGTTCAACGCCCCCAACTCTCCTATCAGATGGTTCCGTGCGGTTACGCCCACACGTGTGGTCCTATTCCTGCTCAAATTTCAAGGCTGGGCGGAATTCCCAATGCCTGGGGCGCCGATCTGACAACAATGCTTGGCCACAATATGCGGCGGTTGGACTTGGTACATCTTCCGCCCGTTGTGGGTTTGTCCCGGTGAAGCGGACTCTGGGGCATTGTGCCTAGGATGCTTATTAGTCTTGTCGTCCCTCTCTCCTATTTCTCCATGTGAAGGGGTTTCTGGTGGATTTGGCATTTTCATCGTAATATCTTCTCGTCACTCACTCCTTTCTTCTCTGCTTTGGGGAAGCGAAAGCTATTCACTCATTCTGCTTTCTCGTCAGGACAGCCTTGTCCAACTACATCTTTCACTTAATCGATACCAAACAAGATCTCAATTTCCTGTGTTTAGCCTATTATGGCTTCGTCACTTGGCGCTCTGAGGAATGTGGCCGAACCAGCTTGTAAGTCCATCCCGCTCCACTGGCTCGGATTTCTTCCTATAGTATACTTAGACCATATGTCTTTACCTCTATGAGTCCAAGCCTCATCTGACGTCCTTTGCTCTTCTAGTCATTGTTTTTGCCTTCACCATAGGCACTCTCATCAACCGCCGCCGACTGGATCGTGACGATGACGTAGACTCGTGTGAGCGTGGGTCGGAGGATTCCTCCTCCCGCCCCACCTCTCCGCTCCTCAAGCCGGAGATGCGCGCGGAGTCGGGCGAGGTATCCCGCATCAACAGCAAACTTCTCGTTCGATTTTACCATACCTTCCCGTTCCTTGCTGAAATCTGGTATTGGAATGCGACGTACTGGTACGAGATCGTCTGGCCCGCGTTAATAATTCAGGTAACGTTGTTATGAACCGGCGCTGACCGGCTTGTTTGTCTCCTAGGATATACCAGCTGCTTCGTGCCTTCTCGGCACGTATGATTGCCGGTAACGAAGCAGTCTTTGCGAGGGCTCGCGACCATGCGATTTCTATTCTGAAGTTCGAGCAGTTCTTCGGCATTGACGTCGAACTTGGCGTGCAGAAATATGTCCTTACAAACATGCCCTGGTTGATGTCTTACTTGGCTAAGATCTACTACTTCCACATTAGCCTCGGCATCATCTTCATCATCTACTGCTACACATTTCTTCCACCGAGCACGTTCCAGAGAATCCGACGAACTATCGCCATGGACAATGCCATCGCCTTCGTCATCGTCACGACCTATCGTTGCATGCCGCCGCGCATGCTCCCGGCCGAATACGGATTCGAAGATGTGCTCCACGGAGCCAAGGGAGGAGGCAACGCGTGGACGCACAACAAGTTCCAGCTGACCATCGCCGCGATGCCGAGTCTTCACTGCGGTACCGCTCTCTTCCTCGCCTGGAGTATCTGCCGGTTTTCGCCTCACCGTCCGCTTCGTCTTATCGCGCCACTGTGGCCGATGGCTATGCTCTTCACGATCGTTGCAACGGCGAATCACTTCATCTTGGATGCTATGATTGGTGCGATGGTCCCTGTCATCGGATGGAGATTTAACCGGGCTATCTTGGTGTTGCTGCCGCTGCAGAATTGGGTGTTGGAGAGGCTGGGGTTGAGAACCCCCGAGGATGAGGACAATACTCCGGCATATGTCCCGAAAGAGTGGTAAGAGAGAGCATGTTCCGTTGAAAGGAACATGAAGGATTCAGTGGGACACAGAGCAAAGCAATAATATCAATAGACAAGTGCGCTAACGATGACATATTCCAAACACATGATCGGATCGGATATCGGGGCCACACGCCTCCTGTGTTCTGACCCCTTGAGAAGTTCAAAGGCCCAGCTTGAGTCTCCAAGTACTCGTGCTCTTACAGTAAGGAAATGCCAGGGATATCAAAGTACGATTCACCTGCTTACGCATCTGTCAAGACGACGAAGAATCCAACTGGGCAACCATCTTTGCTCTGCTGGAAAAAGAAGGTGGTGTCCGGCGAGCAGAGACTTCCTGATACAGTCACACTTCCCGGAACCTCAGCTGGAATGCCGCATGGGGCACTATTGACAATCTGCAGGCACTACCATCAGTAACTGAATCGACGGCGGTCTACATCGGATTCTGTTGACGTTCAATACTCACATAGCTGTGGCCGGGTGTCATCGTGGGCGGGGGGTTAGGCGGGCTAGGGCCGGGAGCAGGCTGCTTGTTATATGTGGTCTGCCCAGCGACGGCTCCGACGCCAATGGCATACCCGGTGAACTTAAAGGTACCTTGGCCGAGGAAAACGAACTTCCCAGGTGCCTGCTCCCATGAAGGGAAGTCGAAGACGAGGTTGCACACCTTGCCCTGGGTCTGGGCGACGGGCAGATCGAGGTTGAAGACTGTGCAAATATCCTTGGGTGTCACCTGCGCCCATTGCGTCGCCGGGAAGGCATAATTGGGCAGATTCTTGGAGATGGGCACGAGAAGGCTAGTCGAGACGTAGGATTTACCAAGGCTGCCATCGGGCTGGGCGGCGTTGACGGGGCAGCTGGCCTTACCGCCACGTTTGGTTGTGGAAGTGGTGGCGCTGGGTGCGGCGACGACGGAGAGAGCGAAGGTGAGCGCGCTGGTGACGGTAGCAATCTTCATGATGGCGGTTGTATTGCGATTGAGTGCTTTAACGAGCGGCGATTTGTGGTTCAAGAGGCGATGAGTGAGACGAGGAGCCTGGAGAAGGTGAAGTAGGCGACAATGAGCAAATGAGCAAGAACTCTCTCGCCAAGAGATGAGAAAGAGGCCTTCATATACGTCGAGTTGGCTCTGCTGGAAGGCTAAGTATATGATGGTCCCGGACTATAGCTTGGACGTAGCAACCGTCATTGCTCGATGAAGTTTAGTTTTCTTCCACCACAAAGAAGCTTTCGACGTGGAGCGCCTTCGACCCCAAGCTCGCGTGCTTTGAATTGCGATGTTCTAGCGCCGTCACGAGCGGCTAGCGATGGATCGGCGCTTCATCATTTTAGATAGTCCTGAAAGGGGGAATAGAGTTTTACCGTTGGATCACCAGTGCTTGAGTTTCTTCTTTCTCTTTACGATCGCCGTTGTGGCTTCCCATAGCCTGCTGAAGTGGCGTATTTTGGCGCCGGCCACGAGATTTCAGCTCCGTGCCCGAGCGCGGCATCGCGGCACGAATGGACTCAAACGTTGACCATCGTCAGCGCTAGATCTTACAGCATCCATCCACTCAGTGAAATGACATGCTTCTCTCGGTGTCCTCTCAGCCCCGCGGAGTGCACTAGTTTGTCCGAATCCTACACCGTGGTGGCGTCGCGGCGGGTTGTCATGTCGAGGTTGGTGAATGAAGTCGTCGTCCAGCAACGCAGGGTCAAAATACAATGATCAGAAATCAGAGAGTTGCGTGGCGCGCTGAGGACATCGTGATTCGAATTATTCAGAGAGACCTCAACTAGCCTGATTCAATACCTGGTACATATTCGCAGCTGAGCCTTTTCCGCCAGGGCAGTTTATCTGCTTTACTCCCGGGTGCTGACCTTGCTAAGCTTCCTTTTGGCCACACTGCTGCTATCACCGACGTCCTTCCCCAAATCACTCTTAGAATTCTGGCCATCAATGATGACATTGTTCGAGTAGACAACCCCATCAAAGATTTCATCCATCTCCTCCAAGGTTCTGCCCTTGGTTTCGACAAACAGCCAAGTAACGACAAATAGTATTCCAAGATTCCAACCACCGTTGATGGCATAGTATCTCCAAGAGATTCTTTCGATAGCAAGAGGAGTGGTGTAAAGGTTGAGGAAGCTGAATGCATACCCGATTGCTTGGGCAACTACGACCCCTTTAGCGCGCTGAGAGTATCGCAGCACCTCAGGAGGGTAAGTGTAGGCCAAGATGCTCCTGCACGAATTTTAGTAAACTTGAGGAAATTCAGAGCTCGTTCACGTACCAGCTTGCCGCAACTGCAAGTAGGAACAGGGCAACAACGACAATCGCACCGATGGCATACGCATTTGTCTCGGGATGGACCTCGGTCAGGTAAGACAGGCCGGCCAGAATTCCAAACAGAACAACTGTGGCGGAAGTTCCGGTAACTAGGTAGAAAGACAAGGAGGTCAGATCAATCCAGCGGAAAACTTTGTCGAGGGGCATCTACTCAATGGCTTGCGAGCTCCTATCTTGTCGATGATGAGGACACCGCCCACGCTGCAAAAAGCCTTCCACAACAGCAAACCGATGTTGATCTGGATTACAGACTTCCGCTCAGAAACTCCTAGTTTTCCAATCAAGAATGACGAGAAGTATCTAGAAGATTTCGTCAGCGCTAGAACAATCAGAATGTGAGTATGTCCTTGTAACATACAAGATCATATTTCCGCCCAGAATTTGATAGAAGATATTCGTTAGTACAGCGATTGTGAACCGTTTCAGGTTTGGGGCTGATGTGTTTCCCCGTTAGTTAGTTGTCAACTCGGCGACTCATCTTGGCTGAAGCTGGCTCACATGGCGCAATGAGATCTTTCCACCCTCCATTGCTCTCCTTCTCGTGGTTCAAAGCCGCGACAATTTCTTGTGTTTCTGAAAGCACCAAAGCATCTTCCCGGTTTCCGTTCGCATGTAATCGAGCGAGCACCCCTATTGCCTTGAGAATGTTCAGTCGAATGACCCTAAACCAGGAGTATGTTTCACATCGTTACCTCGTCATGGCGGCCCTTTGAAAACAACCAGCGTGGGCTTTCGTCGACGAATGGTAAGAGAGACAGGGAGATGATAGAAGGCACTGCTTCTCCCTGTTTAAGAGACATCAGATAGAGCCTTGATGTTGTCTCAAGGGGATAGGCACTTACAAGCATAAGTCCTCTCCATGCCCAGTCGGACTGCTTGTCGTAGATGCCCAGGACAATGCAACTGACCAAGAACGACGTGAAAGGTACGGATGTCAAGACGGTGCTTGAAAGAATTGAGCTATACTTGGGCGCCGCCACCTCCATAACCCACATGGGAGCAATGGAACCATTAATGAGGGAGGCAAATCCGATAATGAAGCGGCCGACGATGAGCTGTGAAACTGCGTTGCTGGTGAGTAGTCGTACTTGTAAAACGTTTCCGCAAGAGCTCTCACCTTTCGAGGCCGAAGCTTGAAGTACAACTCCGAGAATGATACAGATGGAGCCAACGGCGAGGCCGGTCTTCCGTCCCCAACGATCAACGACGGGACCCACTATCGGGGCACCGAAGATCGAACCGGCACTAATGATGGCAACATTCAATCCAATCATATCGCTATTCAACTTGAAGTCTATGGGAAGTCATTAGCTATGGAAACTGGGTCGGGCAGATAATCGCACAGTCTTGGTATGGCTTAACCGAGTTCAAGTTGTTGATCATCCCAGCATCATAAGAAAGAATGCAGATGTTCAGCATGGCCACGAGGACCATGAGCACGTGTGAGACGATTGGCCCGGGGGTGAGCAAAGCCATGATGGCGGAGGATCCAGGATGCGGAGGTGTATTTTCTGCTGGTGTTACAGTCGGAGTCTGAGTTTGAGGTTTAATTGTCTCCGTAGACTGGCAGTCGGGTGTACTCAAGTGTTGGTTGTGGTGATTTGGGGAATCTAAAGTCAATGTAGCAGTTGTCAACTCATTCGCAGACAACTCAAAAATCTCTTCTTGACGTTGATCTGAGCGCTGAGCCGGCCACCTGCGCATTTTTCTCTTTTTTCCAGGTACGCGTTAGAGATACCACACACTCTCTTGCTACACACCATGAAGCGATAGATAAGACATCCCGGGTTAGATCAACGAACCCACGAGTGTCCGGTGATAGGGGTGCACCTGAACCAAACGCCGTAGATTCAGAGACAGCGCGCGCTGTCTGGCTGTGTGCGTGCTGAGTTGTGCGACATGCTCATAGCTGAGCGGCGTATTTCCCGAGAGTGCCGAGCTTTAGGCACTAGCTTCGGCCGAATGCCTCAGGCTAACATTATAGTTCCCCCCTTCTCCCCTTTATGATCGCAAAATGGGAATTCCCAAGGACCCTCAGTTCTGTACAGTATGTGTGACGAATTCCCGTACAGATGTGCATCCGCCACTAGGTTTCGTCTCCGATGTTACGACTGCCCTCTCCGTACACGCCAGTAGTGTCTCAATCGGCTTTCAAGTTCCAGAGCCCGAGTATGATGGTTTACCGACGCAGGCAGGAACCGGTTTGAGAGTTCTGACTCAGCATGGTACGTGGCATGGTAGAGACGGAATGCCCGCCGAGAAAGCATGTCCAGTTCAGCTGGGCGCTGAGAATTCGGCAGATGTAATTTGCAGGGAGTGTACGGAGTCCCTGCACCCAACCACAACATCTCGATATTCTCGTAGGGAGTAATAGCGCAAGCATCATGACATCGCGATAGACTCACTGCAACGTCAATCTCTGAGAACTCATGCCAGGCCAAGAATTCAAGATCCCCCCAAAGTCGTTTCCATACGCTCACGGTTTCATTGTCTACCTTACTTACCATAATCCTTGGCATATGTGCTTTCGCTCGTCCTTTTACTCAATTGGCATGGGAGAATTGGCAAGTCTTTATGAGAGTAAACTTGGCCGTCCATTCTTAAACACAGCGAATCGTATGGAGTTTTCGAACGTAACTACACATTTCAAACCTGATACTTCGGATCAATATTCCAACATTTCTAAATCATGCATCTAGTATGCGTGCCAATGCTATATACTCTAATAAGTTGGTTACGTAACAACTCAAAGCATTCTTAGGTGCGCGAGCTTCATCAAAAATTCAAATCACCAGTACCCGCCAGGGGGCGGAGCCACAGCGACATCGTTAAGATGTCCCGTGACACCGTTTTTGATGTCCTTAGCAACCTTGGGAAACTGCTCTCTGGCAAACCCCAAAGGGTCCCAGGGCTTCAGCTTGGGGAACCGCTTGTTGGCCCACTCTTCCGGGGCCGCCTCGATGTCATCCCAGGGAATCTTGTAGAATGCATCTCTATTCTGTTGTCCGCTCTTGTGCACTGCATTGGACCGATGGTACCGGATCCGTTGTGCGGCTTCAAGTGCTAGTTTGACGTCTCCGTTGGATGACTGTAAACACTCAGCGACAGTCACCGCGTCTTCGAGAGCTTGAGAAGCGCCTTGTCCGGCAGTAGGAAGGTTGGCATGAGCAGCGTCTCCGATGAGAATCGTGCGGCCACCTTTGCTAACCCAAGTGTCTATGGTTGGCCGATAGACCAGCTTGAAATCGATGGTCTTGTCAGAAGGTGTAACGTCGAGGAGCGCTTGAGCATCTCTTCCTGGGAAGAAACTCATCCACTTTGCTACATGTTCTCTTTCGGCGATATTGGACCAAGATTCAGATGATTCTTTGTCGTCCTATCAACGTGAGTCAGTAAGTAAGTTATCGACATTATGTTGGGTAAACGCTGAAGCGCTCACCGGATGAACCAAGACCCAGGCAATACCTTGAGCTTGGTTCCAAACAAAGGCCATCAGGCTCAAGTTATCATACATCCAGAATCGAACAGTATCTCTATCCTCGTGGAAAAGATCCTTGATTCCGGGGTGATTTCTCATCGTTTCGTCAGTCTTGAAGAAGCTTCTGAACACAGACCAGCCGCTCGTGGTCTCGTCGATCTTCTTGTCGTCAAGATGCAAAACCTGAGCTCGAGCGATGGATCGTGGGCCGTCTGCGGCGATGACACAGTCGGCCCAAATAGTCTCGCCAGTGCTGAGCTTCACACCTGCTTGGCTTTCTTCTTCAAGGTAATTCGTGACTGAAACGCCGATCCTAATGTCCTGGACACAGGTCTTCGCATAAGCAAGGAAAATCGAGTGAATCTTGCCTCGGTGGCCTGCATAGGTGATGTTGTGTTCTTTTCCATCCCTTGCCCACGGAACATCAACGATGAATTTGCTGTCGTACTTGTACAGCTCCATGGTGCGGATTTGACTACAACCTGTGTCGTGAATTTGCTGGCCAACCTTGCCTGCATCCCATCGATTGATGATACGGCCAGCATTGGGGAAGAAATCAAGAATATCTGCCAAGGAGAACCGTAGTGAGTTTCGTAGATCATTGCGACCAAAGCTCTGCCACACAAAAAGAGGGGCGGCTTGGTGATGCTTACCACCTTGGCTGTTGGAGTCAGGATACTTCTCCAACACCGTGACATCCATGCCACGGTGTGCACATTCGATTGCGGCTCCAAGCCCGCCGAAGCCGGCGCCAACAATGATGACTTTCAGTTTCTTGCCGGCAGTCATTTTTATAGATTTGTGTGGAGTGACTGTAAATAAAGTAGAGAGTACGATGCGTTGATACTCCCTTTTCAGACCAGATGGCCGGTAGTTGCAGCTTCAGACTGAAATATATGAAATCTCGGACATTGGACTGAAGACGTTTGGTATCTTGGCACGAGGGAGAATCACTCGATGCATCATGAATGATTGCAAGCATGGAATGCCGCGGCACCCGAATTCCAGCGAACCATCCTTCCAACTCGGGGTCGCCAGCCGAAGGCCCGAGATGCCCGAGATAATGCCTCTTACCCACCTTCGCCGTCTTACTAGACCCATTGCTCCAACGACATGGGCCAACTGAACTGCAACTAATCATAGTAATCTCAGGTCGTGAGCCATTTCTTGGACTTGAGACAATAATTTGAAAGCATATTGTGGCGAAGGGCTTCGTCATTTTCTTATTGACATCACCACCCTTTGCTGTTGTTCACTACATTCAATCTCAAGTCGAGAAAACTTCCCGCTAGACTCGAAAATGGCGACCATCCAACAAGACCAAAAACAGGATGTGCGAGTGATTCAAGTCGCCCAGAATGGATCTAACCATGTTCCCAAATTTGAGACTCTACAAGTCCACGCAGGGCAAACTCCTGACTCTGCAACGCTTGCGCGTGGGGTCCCAATCTACTCGACCTACGTCTTCAACTTCCACAGTTCAGCTCATGCTGCTCGGCTATTTAACCTTGAGGAAGAGGGTGAAATTGCGACCCGCACGGGCAATCCAACTACAGCCGTGGTTGAACGTCGTGTCGCAGCCCTTGAAGGTGGCGTTGCAGCCGTGGCAGTTTCGTCCGGTCAGGCAGCCGTGTTCATGACCATGGTTGCTTTGGCTGGGCACGGTGAGAACATTGTAGCGACGAAGCATTACTATCACGGCGCATACAATCAATTCTCTTTTCTCCTACCAGAGTTCGGCGTAACATGTCGCGTCGTGGAAGAATCTGTGGAAGCAGTCCGAGCAGCAATTGATGAACGCACCAAAGCCGTCTATATCGAAACTATCGGACACCCCAACTTCAATGTTCCGGACATCGAAGCCATTGCGCAAGTTGCTCATGAGAAGGGAGTTCCTCTTGTAGTCGAGAACACCGTCGGGTGCGCATACTTCTGCCAGCCCATAAAGCACGGAGCAGACATCGTCGTCGAGAGCATGAGCAAGTGGATTGGCGGTCACGGGAGTGCAACCGGCGGTATCATCGTCGATTCTGGCAACTTTGACTGGAGATCTTCGACTCGGTTCCCACAGTTCAACAAACCATGTCCTGGCTTCCATGGGTTGAACTTTTCCGAGCGATTTGGGAGAGAGGCCTTTATCATGCGCATTCGAGGGCAGATCCTCCGAGACGTTGGATCCTGTCTTTCTCCTTTCAACAGCCAGCAGTTCGTGCTCGGGATCGAGACTCTGAGTCTGCGCTGCGAGCGACACGCTCAGAATACCATTGCTCTCGCGAACTGGCTTGAGAAACACGAAAACGTAGTGTGGGTTTCGTATCCTGGTCTTCCTAGTCACCCTCACTATAAGCTCGCGCAGAAGTATTTACCCCGCGGAGCTGGGGCGGTACTTATGTTTGGAATTAGGGGCGGAGCGGATGCTGGTGAACAGCTGGTTGACAACTTCAAGATGATCTCGAATAACCCAGGGTAAGTGACGAACACCGTGCCGTTGGCACCCACCTGCTACTTGTGCTGATTTATAGTTAGATATGGAGACGCGAAAACGACTGCCATGCACCCCTGGTCGACAACACATAAACCTATGCTACCACAGGAAAAGATCGATCTTGGAGTTGCGCCGGAAATGGTCAGAGTTTCAGTTGGCATCGAGCATATTGACGATATCATCCACGACATTGAACAGAGCATGAGCATCAGTCCCGCTGTTCCAAAGGCATAGATTGGACAAGAGCTCGTGTCCCTAGACATTTGATATTAAATATTCAACTTGCTTCTGTTTCAAATTCTGGGCTGCCAAGTGCCTAAAGTACTTTTCAAACGTATGATCATCTGTCTTTGCCGGGTTCATAAGATTCTATGGTGTTTACCTGCCCACATGGTGTGTTTCTCATCAAGCCGGTTCTTATTTGCACTCCACATGTTCAATGCACAAAATACTAGTATGAGTATCATCACTACAATACACACAAGTACTTGAAGCTACCTAATCTTGTCTCTGGGGATCTGTGGTAACCTGCGCAATGTCATCATCAATGTTCTTGTCCCAAATCCAACTCATCCTGTTTTTCATAATCTCCGTGATCTTCCCAAGGTCATCCTCCTCAGCTTCAAAATGCCACAAGTGACCAGCTTCTCGGCTTGTAGCAACGAGATTTTGCGTGCGTTCAACTCGAGCTCGACTGAAGGATTTGAAAACGCCAGGCAGATCCTGTGCTTGCTGGACATTGTGGAGGAGTCTTCCGAGAACATAGGCATCCTCCACGGCCATACCCGCACCGGCTCCTTGAAAGGGTGTTGAAGCGTGTGCAGCGTCTCCGAGGAGACAAATCCTGCCCTTGTGGTAATCTCCCATAGGCGAAAGATCGAAGAGCGCCCAAATATCTGATTGGCCCATAAGTCGAACAATGTTGAGTACATCCGGACCCCATGTGCTGAAACTCTGCAGCATCTGTTCCTTGGTTGCCGGGGTGACCATTGTCTTGTGAGGCCATTCCTTTGATGACTGAAAGGCGACCACATTCATCATTCTACCACCAGCAACGGGAAAGGTCAGCATGTGACCGTGGTACCCCAGATATGCTTGGCAGTTCTTCGCCTTCTCCTCGCCTAGAAGCTCCACAGCTTTGTCCATCGGAACCATTCCTCTGTAGCAGTATTTGCCGGAATAAGAGGGATTGGTGGCGGGATGATCTTCTCCAAGCATGATGCGTCGGGTTTGACTCTTGATCCCGTCGCATCCGATGACGGCACTATGCCTCGCTGACGTCCCATCCCCAAACTTCAAAAGGACACCATTGTCTCCAAGGTCGTCTATACCATGTAAAGCCTTGCTGAATTGCGCTATTCCAGTCGGAAGGAGCTTGGCTATCTCATCAACAAGATGCGAGCGATTCACCATCCAGCTTCCTGGTTCGGGATGCTCCACAGAGCAGAGGTACGTCCCGGCAACGACACCACGGGCTCTGGCGGTCTCATCGGCGCTGTCCATCCCGACTCTAAAGTCGAACCAGATGTTGTCCTTGTCTGCGAAAATGTTTCTGTTCGCCCGAGCTTCAACTGCAGCCGCCAGTGGCTCCGATATCTTCGTAATTGCTCGTACTGCATTTGGTCCAAAGGCGACACCGGCTCCTATCTCGCCGAATTTTGGAGCATTCTCATACACAGTGACCGGGATTTTCGTGTGAGTTGTGATGTATAGGGCCAGGCAGAGGCCACCGATACCACCGCCAACGATGGCCAGACTGAGGTCTTTGTCTGGTGACATTGGAAATCAAGCACGTATTCACTAAGCAAAGACAATGATGGGGCGTGGGGCAGATGTCAGGCCCAGAAGACGGATGACGCAGTGACTGAGATATGAGATCTGAGCTGACACAGATGCATTATACTAGATAATAGAATCCGATAAGGTTTCTTAATGCTTCAGCTAGTGACCGAAGGCGTCTGAATCTAGGTGCTGCATTCTATCAACCATTCGGTTGGGCATTAACCAGAATGGCCCTGTTGTGACCATGTGCTATACAGTAAAGAATTCAAAATTAGTACCCGGGATACGTGCTTGCCTGGACGCCTGGCAGAATGACCGAGAAACCGAGCTCCTGTAAGCCGCCATATCGTGTCGGCCGAAAACTCCGGAGCTCAATCACGCCCCAGGCATGTGACCGAGCTGATACAATCTGCCAGGGTTGGGAAAGCAATCGGCCTTGGCATAATGGCTGGAAAGCTTCGGGGAGGTCAATAGACAAGACATGAATAACGTCTTCTCAATGTTCACTTGAACTTTAACTCACACCGTCAAAAGAACACAGCACAACTCAATAGACCCAGCACAAGCCACTGCTATCACAAAACTTATCTACAATGTCTGCACAAATTGGGCTCTACTACCCAATCTTAAGGGATAAGTTTCAGCAAAACCTGTTGGCAGTGGCGGGATGGACAATTCTTTGCGCTTGCGCCTTCGGGGTGCTGCTTCTCTGGTCATTTGCAGTCGAGGTCAGAATGCCAAAACTTTCGATTGCATTGGAAGATGAGGTACCCAATCGACAGGAGCGAATTGATATTTTCATCAAAGACACAAGAAGGTTGTTCATCACAAGTTACAACAAAGTATGCTCATTTCTTTTGCGATTGTGATTAGCAACAACGGGGTTCCAAGCTGAAATTCTGACAACGATAAGTTCCAAAATCGGGTATTTGGGATAAACACGACTGAAGGTTAGTTGGAAATTACTTGGGGACGTTCGCGAAATGTTCCCTGCCGTTGACCATTTTGCAGGCACGAACATCATCATACCTCTCGAGCTACTCCACGGGCTAGGAAGCCACAAGTCCCTGAGTTTCGCTGCATTTCTCGAAGAAGAGGTACGTACCTGACATGAGATTTACTTAGTCTCGTAATAGTGAAGAAGTCGTTTCTAACTCGCTGCTCAACCTTCTGGGGATGGTAGTTTAGTATGAAGAAGTATACTAAAGTTGGCAACCTCGATGAGAAACAAATCGCCATCGTAAACAAGAAGCTGAACCCGAGTCTTCGTGAGCAGTCCTCGGAAGTTATTGTTCCAAGACTCAATCATGCATCTAACTCTTCTCAGCGCAATATGTTCCAGTACTTATTGGTTTGATACGCAGCCACTGGCCACTCGAAACTTATGGAGGTAAGTCTCGAATCCTTGAATCCTTCAGCCAAAGCAACCTAGCTCTCAGGCGTTTCTTGAAGACTTTTGGACTCCACCTAATAATGCTTTCACCTTTGGCAATACTTACTTTTTGAATAGTTCCCACAGTTG